TTAATTTTGGAATCTATAAATATGTTTTAGGTAGCATTATCTTATTAATAAATTAGAATATCTTCTTTATTGATAATAAGTTTTAAATAATATAAATAAATATGGATATTTTAGGTAATAATAAATTAAGCTATTATAAATTATTTAGGTCTTTATTTTAAAATTTTTCTTTATCTAATTCCTCTTTACTTTCTAGGTTAAGATTTATTAATTTATTTTATATCTAATTATAATATTTTTTAAAAAATAATTTTTAAAAGATATGAAAATTTTTTATTCTATTTTTAAAAATTAATAAAATAAGAGAAGATTTAATTAATAATGGTAAAGGAATATTTTATAAATGATTTATGCCATTTCTTAATTTAATATTAATATTAATTAAAGAGTAATTAAAATATGATGAACCTATATTTTAAAAAAGTATAATTATTATTAGATTAGTTAATCCAAAGTTTTTTAATTTTAAAAATAATAATATTAATAATAGGTTAAATAATTAAATATATTTTATTTATTAAAAAAGCTTAAAATCTTTTTATTATATTTAAAAGAATAATTTTAAATTAATAATTAAAGAATTTATAAAAAAAATAATTAAATATAAAAAAATATTTATAATTATATAATTTAATATCTTTCTTTTTATTTTATTTTGCTTTTTTTTATTCTAAAGCCAACCAGAATAATACCTTCTTTATTCTATTCTGTTCTAAAGCAAAACAAAACATTATGTTTTGTTAGTTGACAGAATAGATTACTTACTATAGTTTCTCTGTGATTAGATGCCTGATACCCCATCTGGTTAGAAGGATATAATCGTAAGTTGTTGGGTTGTGACAGATGGAAAATAACACCTAATTATCTATTTTTCCAAAATTTTTAAGGGATTAAAAATGAAATATAAAATATATAACCAAAAATTTATGATTATTTACCAAATATTAAAAGAATAGAAACTATAAGTATTAAGAATTATTAAACCTTTAGAAATCTATTTAAATTATTATAATCTTAAGTCTTTTATAATTATTAAGGTTTTTAATAATAGATAATTATAATGGATAAATAATCTTATATATTTCAATTTTAAAATCTATTATACTAAAAAAAAAGAAAATATCTAGGCAAATATTCTTAATAGATTAAAAGATCTTAATATTAAAAAAATTAAAGAAGAAAAAACAATATTCTAAGAAATATCCAATGATATCTTAATATTATTAATGGTATATTTGATTAGATTATAATATAAATGGGAATAAAAAATTAAAGAAGAAGTCTTATAAATCAAGGATATTCTATTAATATAAAATTTCACCATTAGAAATATAATATCATATAATGGGAAAATCTATGTATCACTAATATTACAAAAGTAATTTATATAAAAAATATATAAATATCCCTTATATAGACATTTAGGAATTTTTAAAATAATTATATGACTATAGGAAATATATGACTTCTTAGGAATTAAAAGGATAATTAAGAAGATTATCTCAAATTATAATATTTATAATAAGGTTAAGGAAATCAAATATAAATTATATGGGTTTTTATAATTTATTAAGATTTTAAATAAATTATAGGATATTGTTATATGGGATTTCATTACCAAGTTACTTAAATCATAATATCTAATAATCAAAAAAAAATATAATAACATATAAGTTATCACTAATAAACTTATAAAATATAGGTATTTTATGTTATTTAAAGAAATCTATATAATCAAAGATTTAGCTTTCAAATTTATCAAAAAAGTCTTTAATAAATACAGACTATTAAAAAAGATTATTTTAGATAAAGATAAACTTTTTACTTCAAAATTTTGGATTAGCTTAATGAAAAGGCTAAAGGTTAAATAGAAGCTTTTTATAATAGCTTATCCTTAAATTAATGGCCAAATAGAATGATTAAATTAAACACTAAAGCAATATTTATAAAATTATATTAATTATAAACAAAATAATTAGGTAAAATTTCTACCACTTATTATATCCTTATATAATATTTTAATAAATAAGGTTATCCCAGAATTAGAAATAATATTACCTTAAACAAAAATATTTACTATTAGAATTTTAACATTATAAACTAAACTTAAATAATATTTTAAATTCTTATAGAAACAAATGGCAATATATTATAATAAAAAAAGAATTAAAAGACCAATTCTACATAAGGAAGATAAGGTCTATCTCTTACAAGATAAATAATATTCAATATTAAAGATATCATAAATTTAAATTAAAAAATTAAATAAGAAGTTGGATTTTAGAAAATTAAGATCCTTTTTAATTAAAAAAGTCCTTTCAAATATAAACTATTGTTTATAACTGCTGACAAATATGAAATTAAAAACCAATATATTTTATATCATTATATTTAAATTAGTATTTAAAAACATCAAACTTAAGGAAAATATTAAATTAAAAAAAGACCTAGAAGAATATAACATTAAAGCCATTTGGGATTCTAGAATTATTAATGATTAAATCAAATATTTTATTAAATGACTTAATTATTTAGAAAAGAATAATATCTAAGAATCATAAGAATATTTTATAAATAAAAAAATTTAGAAGTTGATTAAAGATTTCCATTATTAGAACCTAAATTAATTAATAATAATAAATTAAAGTTTATATCCTTAAAAGAAAAGTTGGAAAAGGGGTTAACCGTAAAGGTTATACTAGTTTACACCTTAATATCATATTGTTACTCCCTTATCAAACATTATTCCTTTTTTGACTATTCCTGCTCTTCTAGTTCTTCCAGATTTTAAAAATTACGTTGAAATATTTTCAAGCCTTTTTTTTTTAATAATTCTTTTTACTATCTAAATCATTTAATATAAGCTAAGGCCTTAGTTATTTCGATATAAAAATATTTAAAAAACTTTTTAACCTGACACTCTTAAACAGATAATCATTTTTCCTTATTCTTAAACCAAGAGAAGAAACCAATGGAAATACCTAACCCATTACATTAATAATAATATAGAATATATTTATTATACTTCTTAAATACCCTAATTATCATTATATATTTAAGATTATAATTAAAATAATATAAATATAACATAATATCCATATTAAAACCAATCCTATTAATCCATTTTAAAAACTCTATATACTCTTATCCTTAATTAATATATTTACATTTTATAAATAAATTAATAGATATGATAAGGATTAAATTAAAGGAACCTACTAAGAAAAAGAATCTTTAAGGATAAAAGAACTAAAAAAAGGAAAAATAATATCATAAACCATATAAGCTTACAAAGATATAAGACCCTAAAAGAAACCTTTTTCCTTGCTAAAATAGGGTAATAACAGTAAGAATATATAATACATGACATAGATAAATATAAATAAAGATATCCAATCTTATCTAGTAAATATGGCATAGATAAATATGGATAAATGTATCCAATCTCATCCAACAAATATAATAAAGATAAATATAAATAAAAAAATCTAATCTTATTTATAAAAAAGATAATAATAAAGAATATTTATATAATTATCACATTCTCTTATATATCTAATCATTTTTTTATAATTCTTTAATTATCAATTTAAAACTATTTTTTTAAATATAATAAGAAAATTCTAAACCTTTCTAATAAATAAAACATACTTAACTACTTAACCTATTATTAATATTATTACCTTAAAATCAAGACATCTTGGATTCACCAATCCAGCAACGACTATACCTCTCTGAGGCATAGGTTCGTCACATGATCTTGTTAATGGCTTCATTTCTTTAGGTAATATTTTAAGAGATTGAGACTATGAAGGGTGGAGCATGGGCAACCTATCATGACTAAAATCCGGTTTGATATGCTAAGATGCAACACATTGCAACACATCGCAACACATCGCGATAATCTCAGGATGAGAGAGGAGGGAGGAACAACTATATAACCATAGATATTTCCTATATATCTAATTACTCTTTCCATAACTCTTCAGTTATCAATCTAAGACTATTCTTTCAAGTATAATAAGAGGATTCCAGGCTTCTCTGACAAACAGAATATACTTAATCACTTAACCTATTATTGATACTATTATCTTTAAATTAAGACACCCTGGATTAACCAATCCAGCAATGACTATACCTCGCCGAGGCATAGGTTCGTCACATATTCCTATAAAAATAATATAATATTATTCATAATGATATTAAATTTAAAAGGGTTCTAGAGAATTAATTAATTATTATTAAGATTTATAATTCTTTTATTCAGTAATATTAATAAAGAAGGTTAAGGGATATCTTAGGGGATATTCTTATTTAATCCTACTTTAAAATAGTTACCTTATTAGATAATTAAAGAATTAGATTTTATATTTTCTAAGATTATAAAATAATTTAGTAAAATTATTAACATATAAAATAAAAATAAGATGTTAATATAAATATAAAGGTTTTGTTATTTTATTTCAATACATGTTAATAAAAAGATTATAATATCAAAATGGAGTTAAGGTAATATATTAAATAGTTATAATCTTTTTACAATCTATTTACCATATCTCCTTTCCCTTCATTTCTTAGGGAAAAGCTACTCTTCTTAATGTTATTTAACAGTAATACATAATGTTCAGTACAGCTTCCTTTCTTGGATACGAGATAGCCAAGAGCTGTGTTAGTGCCTTATGTATATTACAGTACTTACAGCACTTCTTTTTGAGCCTATTATTTTTTATCTATACATGTGTTAGTGATGGCTTCCTATCAGGATGATATAGGTGTCATAACAGTTGCTTAGTCCAACACATACCACTATAAGACACAGTTACTCGCTTAATAATCTATTATCGCATATATGCCAGGGGATTAGACAACTAGCATTCACGATATCAAGATCCAGCACCACATACGTTAACAAGCCCTTGACTTCTGGCAGTAACTAATATTCACGTAACAGTACGTGATCGCCTAGTTTAAACCACAACCTAAAACTATAAAATTTCAAGATGAGTGACAATAGTCCGGCGGTAGTTGCTGCTAGACGGAAGAAATACTTTGACGCAGACAGCCGAGACTTTGAATTTGGAGGACTCATTGCGTCCGGAGGCCATGGTGACGCATACAAGATTCGTGAGCGAAGTCCTGATGGTTCTCCGGGTAGAAGGTTTGTTGCAAAATTCGCTGTAAACGACCCAATAAGTATAGCTGATCTACGAAAAGAGATTGAAACCACAAGGCAGCTCTATGGCGCTTTCCATATAGTCCAGCCCGTCGTAGATAATGGAAATCTACGTAGTCTTCCGAATATTCCGTCCAGCGCCCCCGCAGAAGACAGATTAATGCTATGCATGGAGTACCTCCCAGGCATCACCTTCGCTGATTTCATTCACAGGGCACAGCAGTGGGATGTTATACCAAACAGGGTCCTCTGCATGGTATTTCTTTGTTGTAAGATAATTTACTCGTTTGAAAGATAATGCAATTGTTACTAATTTGGTATTCACACTTGCAAGAATAGTACTGGCTTTGGGTAATCCGCCTAGGAAACCGTTCGGCGCGTCTACAGAATGTCCAGAAACAGAAGTAGTTCCAGAAAAAGAGCCTACCGCTAAGGACTACCAAATATTCCACGGCGACATGGATAATCATTATAACCGTAAGTTTTTACCCCACTACCGATATACAGCAACAATTCTAAAGGTTCTAGTTGTTTTTGGCGATTTTGATGTGGATGAGCACTGGCTTGTACCTGTACTGAAAGCCATTGATTTTGGGATCGCTATTGATAAGATCGGGTCTAATATCAGCGGATATATAATGTATTTATACTCTCTCCTTAGATACGGTGTATTTCTATTAACACGATCTAGGCACAATATTAGCCCTGGCACATTTACTCAGGCAAACATATATCACATTGGTCGGGTAAGCCATCCTAAGACTATATGATTATTTCTAATACTCACCTTGTATATTACTATTCTAGGCTATGCAACAGCTTTACGCCCATTACTCGCCAGCGTCTTTGCTAAACTTGGATAATGACCTTTCTAACCTCGCCGCGAAGTGTGTTAGTTGGCATCATCAAGATCGTCCGTCATTAAGAGAACTTGTAGATACGATAGAGTACGCTATAAGGACGAAGACGGGGCCCGAAAGCTTCCCAGGAATGCCATGGGCCAACTCTGAAACAACTCAGATGATACGGCACTATGTGGCAGATGTTATGCTTTCAGCAACACAACTAGACGACTTTAAAGTCCCCTAAATATGTTATGGGTTGTATTAGGTAGATTTCGTCAACATATATACCTCTTAAGTACCTTGACTCTTAGTAAGCAATCAATTATGTACACATGGCTTAGGGTTTCGATTTTATTCTGTTACAATATAGTGAAAGGCTTTGAAGTCAGTATTCCATATTTTTCACTATCGCTATGCGGTAGTCAATCCTCGTGATGATGATAACCATGACCGAGAAGTAATAAAGTGTAACAGTTCAGTGTTATCAAATCATGCATGGAGTAAGGAAAAAATCAGCATAACCTTTTCAGGTTCCGAGTTTAATATGCTAATAAATACAGGAAATATGTCTTAGAGGCTACCATCTGTATATATAGTGCGGAAGATTCTAACGCGGTGCTATGCATCCAGCTAGGGTGATATATGTACTTGCCTAGGTCAACTGAAGTCATTGCAACCAAAACATTAGATCAAGCCGGACAAGTGGGGACGAAGGCAGCGGCGCGGACAATTAATCACATCTAGTATACGGGGAAGCTACGTCCTGCTCTAGTTGAAGAAGGACTCGGACTCGGCATCAGTGGATACATTCCGGTACTGGCAGGCCCACTCGATGTGGATCCAATTAGAGCGGGCAGTAACAGCCGAGTCTATCGGAGATAACGATAAGATAACATCGGCATTGATTAGCAAATACATACCTAGGTACCTAAGTGAGTAGCCTGGAGCTTCCATTAACAAAAACGATTCTAAAGATACAATAATTCAACAAGTCCATCGAAGCCATCCCACAAATTTGCAATTTCCATCACTTTGAAACTAGTATATGCCCCAACTACTTCATCTTCATACGATTAAATAAAGCACAAATGCCTCCGGCGCCTAGCCAGAAAGGCACTGGCAAGAAGAATGCCGGTGTCATGGGGAAGCGCAGTCGCAATACTACTCCTATGGCGAGCTTACCCTCTAGTGCCAATATCCCACCTGTCGAAATTATTGAAACCGAGTTCCTAGACCTCAGATTAGAGTCGGTTCGTAATATATCATATGATGATCTAGTCGATTCCAGTGCCTCCAACGCTGTTATTCCCGATTCCAAGAGCCTCGATGGTTTAATTACGCGACTCGGAAAACTAAACGAAATAATCGAACGACGTGGGACTTGGTGTGATAAAGGGATGCGTTTAGTTGCTAGTCAGAGAAAGGATTATTACGACGAAGTGGCTGCTGCTGGTAGAAGAGATGACGCACGTAGGGATGGTGGAGAGGATTCGGAGAGAAGAGCCAACAAGAAGAAGAGGAAAGCGAATGATAATCTCGCACCTGGAGATGCGCATACAGGTAAGTTTGCCATTAGCCCTTTCTATTATCAATACCCATGTCAAATCGCAGTCAGTGTCAACCTGTAAATATGTCCATATTGTATATTCAACTTCACCGGGGTTACCATTGTTGCTCCTCAACAGGCATGCCTAGCTACAACGATACTATCCCACAACGGCCGCGTTCTATTATTCCGATTCCCAACTTTGAATCTACGCCATAAGACGCTACTTTTCATTCTAGACTAATTGACTACTATTAAGAACGATCTTCTCCCTTACGCGACCCCACCAAACCTCGTAAGCCTTCGCGAGATAACGATTCGGCCAGCTCTTCCCTTTCGCCTGTCACAGCCGCAACGCCTGGCGCGATGGAAGTAGATGAGAAAGCGAGACTCGACAATAAGGTCGAAGAAGACTCCGATTCCGAGGATGAAGGCGCCCCCCCTCGTCGAGAAGCCCCTCAATATCAGACCTTCGGCGAAGACCCTTCGACATTCCCCGATCCTACCGTCTACGAGATACGCCCAACTTCACCCGGCATGCCCGTCGACGAGCTCAAAGAACTATACTCTGTTGCCGTCTTTCCCAAGTCAGACCTCGCCGATATGATTGCTGGTGATCCGCCCGACAAGGACTTTAGTAGTGCCAAGCCGTCGAATCAGATCAGTTTCAGCACCTTTTCCACATATGTCGAACCCTACTTTCGCCCGTTTACCGAAGAGGACTTGGCTTTCTTGCGCGAACGTGGCGATCGACTAACCCCCTTCGTCATGCCTAAGCGGGGCAAGAAACATTACACTGAAATATGGGCAGAAGAAGAGGGCGCTATGGCAATCGACTCAACCTCGCCGAGTAGGGATAAGCTTGCCCCCAACCAATCGCGCGGCACCATCGATAACATGGATGACGATGTTGCGGAAACGGATAAGTTGTCAGTTGGTCCCGTCTTGTCACGATTGCTACAAGCTATGCGCCCCGAGGCTCGTGCTCAGCCTAGCGAGGACAAACCGATGACGAACGGAGTCAATGGAGATACCGAGATGAAAGAGGAGACTAATGGCGACTCAAATCCTGGAGCGGCAGGCGAGGAAAATAAAAGCGTCCCCCCAGCCACCTTCATGACAGAATCATCAACGGAAGCCTGGAAGAAGGCTACGCATCCTAAACTAGACTATTCCCAGGTAGACGAACGTATTAAACTAGAACTGCGCAACATAGGTTTCCTTCCTCTAGAAGGGTTCGACGGCGACTACGATGGGCACTATGATGATGAAGTTGCTGCTCGCTTACGCCTTCTACAAGACAAACTCCGGGAGCAAATGCTTCTCAATGGCGCACGCAAAGCTCGACTTACAGATCTTGTAAAGGAAAGGATGGCTCATCAAGAATACACAACCATTCTTGAGGACCTGGACACTCAAGTTCAGGGAGCGTACCTCAAACGGACGCGTACGATGGGCAAGAGTAAGAAGGCGAAGCGGCCAGGTGGTGCAGGTGGAGGAAGTCACCCAACTGGAGGTGGTGCAGCAGGCATGGCTCGACCAGGCATCGGTGATGTGACCAAGACACTTATGGAACGTCGACGAAGATGGATCGAGAGTATAGGTCCGGTGTTTAACGACCCCAACCTCGGCAAAGTTCCTCGTTCTTCAAACTCCAACAGTACTATCTTCAAACCCGAGATGATGACCAATCTTATGAAGAAGGAGCGTCAGGCTTGGGATGAGGAAGTTGACGAGGAATAGAAATATTTGGGTTGGAGGGGTACATAAGTATTCTAAGAGTTTCGACAAGTACATTTGTGCGTCATGATACCAAAGGTGGCGTTCGGTGGCTTGGCCTCTAGGTTTCTAGAGGGACGAGGGTGGAGTTGAGATGAGTTCGATGGTTATGTGACTTGCATTGCTTGGTACGAAGGAAGTTTTCGCTGCTGCACCTCTATAGGGACTGCGATAATAGCCCAGCCAACAAGTTAAGCCTAAACTACGCATACGCTACCTAGGTAGTTAGTCAAATAAAAAATGACTATAGATTTATGGTTGAGTCTATAATTTAGACCTCCACATTATTGAGATCTACCCTGAGTTCATTCCCAATCATATTTGGCACTATACTAAAGATGGTATAAATGGTAGCATATCATTGGACCAAGAGATCCCGGATCAACCTCTATCATGCACATAGATAAAGTTGCGGGGTGCCTTAACCCTATAAAGGTTGAGTTAATGTATAAATTAGTGGACCGAAAGCTTGAAAAGACCCCACGTAGATAAGATGCCGTTGTAGCGCAAAGTTACATATTTATGAATAGATCTATTACAATCACTATCTAAGTACCTCAAGTACTAAGTACCTAAAATAATATAGAAGAGCTATCCGATATGACCGTCGTAAAACCGCCGCCTCCATGGCTCCGTATTTTCCCATCTCCGCTTATGAAAGTCGCGTGCCAGAGTGACTTGAAGAAGCAGACCGGATACTACTATTACGACGATGCATCTCGTTCCTAAAGAGGTTCGTAGGTCTAACAATATATAGATACATCTTAACTAATATGATTTCATCTATTTCTATTTAGCTTGATAAGCTCGTCCTCTCACAATTGGGGTTTTTAGCCCAGAAGAGGCTTGCTAGGGGTGTTAAGTTAAACCACACCGAGGCCACTGTAAGCTTCTCAGCACCATTCCAAGAGATAGCCCTTCATCATGTCACGGATCTCTGCAACAAGTTCTAATTACGTAGACTAAACTTCACCACAGGCACTTATTGCGAATAATCTCCAAGAGCTCATTCGTGATGGACAACATAACGTCGCAGATCTGATGACTATAGGGTCTACCATGCTAGGTCGGAGGCATGTGTTACCTTCTGTTGTTAGTACGCTCCACGAAATCCAAGTCGAAGGTACTTTCCCATCAGGTACTTATCTCGTGACGGTGCACAACCCCATCGCCACCGCCGATGGTGATTTAGCTAGGGCACTTTACGGCAGCTTCCTACCCACCCCAAGCCAGGACCTATTTCCCCCTTGCGAAGATAGTGCCTACGAGCATACCAAGCAACCCGGCGCCATAGTTGCTGTTAAAGGTAGAATTAAAATCAACGAGGGCCGGAAGCGTATTCGACTTCAGGTCACAAGCAAAGGAGATAGGCCCGTCCAGGTGGGTAGTCATTACCATTTCATCGAGACGAATCCACAACTCGAATTCGACCGCGCTGCAGCATATGGCTTCCGTCTCGATATTGCCGCCGGCACATCCGTGCGGTTCGAACCGGGTGACACCAAAACCGTTACACTCGTCGAAATCGGCGGTAACCACGTAATCCGCGGAGGCAATGGTCTCGCCTCCGGAAAAGTCGACCTGTCTCGCGCAGACGCTATCGTTTCGGCCCTCCAGGAGGCCGGATTTGCGCATAACCCGAGGCCTGCAGGCGACATGGCATTTATAGACGTAAGTTCCATAGAACGTACTTCGTATATAGCTATGTTTGGCCCGACAACCGGCGATCATGTACGCTTAGGCGCGACCGATCTTTGGATTGAAGTCATGAAGGACATGACTAGGTATGGCGACGAGTGCAAATTTGGCGGTGGTAAGACTCTGCGTGAAGGCATGGGCCAAATGACAGGATGCCCGGATAGAGATAGTTTGGATATGGTAGTGACAAATGCGCTGATCGTCGATTACACCGGTATTTACAAGGCCGACATTGGTGTGAAGGATGGGTTGATCGTTGGGGTTGGTAAGGCTGGAAACCCGGATGTTATGGACGGCGTCACCGAGGGTATGATCGTGGGTAGTTGTACGGATGTCGTCGCGGGAGAGGGCAAGATTGTGACGGCTGGTGGTTTGGACACACATATCCATTTCATATGCCCACAGCAAGCTTATGAGTCCGTTGCTTCTGGTGTTACGACGATGCTTGGTGGTGGTACTGGGCCTAGGTGAGTGTTTCGTCCTATCAGCCCTGCCGAAAAGGCAAATGGCCAAGTAATTGACTAACTAACGACAGCGCCGGCACCAATGCTACCACGTGCACACCAGGGGCAAACTACATCCGACAGATGTTACAAGCATGCGATAACCTGCCTGTCAACATTGGAATTACAGGCAAAGGTAACGACAGCGATCCTGGTGCACTACGTGAGCAGATCCTAGCGGGTGCCTGTGGTCTTAAACTGCACGAAGACTGGGGTACGACACCTGCTGCCATCAATTCTTGCTTAGGAGTTTGTGATGAGCTAGATGTGCAATGTCTGATTCACACAGACACGCTCAACGAAAGCGGCTACGTAGAATCGACGATCGCAGCCTTCAAGGGACGCACCATTCACACTTACCATACAGAGGGTGCAGGAGGTGGGCATGCTCCTGATATTATCAGAGTTGTGGAACACGAAAATGTACTACCGTCCTCGACCAACCCAACACGGCCGTATACTCAAAATACACTAGATGAGCACCTCGATATGTTGATGGTATGTCACCATCTAAGTCGAAATATTCCTGAAGACGTAGCGTTTGCGGAGTCACGAATCAGGGCCCAGACGATCGCGGCAGAGGATGTACTGCATGATTTAGGCGCTATATCGATGATGTCTAGTGATTCGCAAGCTATGGGCCGGTGCGGCGAAGTCATTTTGCGAACGTGGAATACAGCGCACAAGAACAAAGTACAAAGGGGATTCCTACCCGAGGATGAAGGCACCGGAGTGGATAATTACAGGGTTATGCGCTATGTCAGCAAGTATACAATCAACCCAGCCATCGCTCAGGGTATGGGACATCTTATCGGGAGTATTGAAGTTGGCAAGCTCGCAGACTTGGTGCTCTGGGATCCGGCGTGGTTCGGAGCTAAGCCAACGACGGTTATTAAGAGTGGTTTGATTGCTTATTCGCAGATGGTAAGTCGTCGGAAGTTGCTCTCTCATCTCACGATAAAAACTAATCAAATAACTAAAAGGGCGATCCCAATGCCTCAATCCCGACAGTCCAACCCATCATCGCGCGCCCTATGTATGCACCACTAGTACCTCCTTCAAGCGTCCTCTTCGTATCCCAGGCGAGCTTGTCGACCATCACATCCTCTAAGAAGGGGTACGGGCTGCGGAAACGTGTAGAGCCTGTACGCGATTGCCGTACCATCGGCAAGAAAGATATGAAGTATAACAACGCTATGCCTCGCATGCGCGTTGACCCCGAGCTATATGCTGTCGAGGCCAATGGTGTACTGTGTACGGCCGAGCCAGCGAAGAGTCTACCACTTACACAGGCTTGGTTTGTTTATTAGAATAGGGGCGATTTCTGATTAGGTAGGCTGGTTTATATGGAGAGGTAAAAACGTGGCTATATGTGCTTGGATATACTAGCTGAGTGGGTTCAGGGGTAGTAATATTTGGGGGTTACTCATTGACATCTAGCTAGGTGCGTATATGTACCCACCTAGGTGGCTACTGAGGTATACGTAGCCAAGGGGTGTTGGATTAGTGGTTAGAATGAAGGGCTGGATTCGACTCACCTTTTTCGTTCGAGATACCTTGGTATGTAGGTGAAGAAGATTGGCTAAGTACATTTGAAAAACTACTATTATAAGTCCCTAGAGTGAGAATTTCCGATTTGATTTATTGTCAGCCCAAACTACGACAGTATTCAAGTTTCGGGTTGTACTTAGGGGGTTGATGTATCGGGTTCCAATATACCATTTTCCTTGGAAGTGTACATTAATAGAATAAAGGGCTGTAGGTAATATTTGTGGTAGCTGAATGAGAACGATAATGCGTAGCTGAGTGTTGCCCAAGAATGGCTCCTGGCTACAAATCGGTGTAAGTTGATTGGCCAATTCCATTTCAATACGGGCCTCGCGTTCATATACGACCTAGAATAATTATTCACATATCAATACCTAGGTAGGTATAACCCTGAATAGAAAAGCGAAAAAAAAGCAACAGTATATAAAGAGGTACTTGAGGCACGTCAGGACTTTATGAAGGAGTTATAGACCTAATCGCTTGGTTGAATTTGCTAGGAATACCTAGGTAATTTGTATTTATGTGTGACTACCTAGGTAGCTGAATTACTCAGGCGGTCTAGGTAGTCTTGTCACTGAAGTAGGTCACAGAGCTGGAAGATTCCCCTAGGTCACTACCTACTTAGCGGTATATACTAGAAGAAATTGGTATTGTCAAAGCGCGTACTGAATGGAATCCTTTAGTAGACCTATGTGCTGAAAGCCCTAGTAAATCAACCTATCCACCTAGCAAGCAATTAGTACAATGGACCTTTCGCTGAATACCCCATACCCGTACCTAGGCACTTGGGTAAGGTATCGAGTCAATTAGCGGCATTCAGCGCTAGGTACCTACAAGTGTATTTGCGTGCACGGAAAACGCGATACCTATTATATACTTGGGTAGGTACTGGTAAGTTTATTCAGCCTAACCAAGCTACCTCCCTACGAAAACACGACACAGCGAGGATAAGTATACCGTCATGAGAATAGTCACGATAGCACACCAGGTCAATGAACATTTACTTCAGCATTTAGCTCTTTTATCAAACCAGTAACGCACTATGTACTGCAAGACCCGCAGGCACCCCGTTCCTTAAACGACTAGAAGAATCCTCATAACTCATAACACAACGTTAGAAGAGCAAGGTCGGTTCCATAAGAATCAAATGAGCCACCGGCAACAACGTACCGGAGCTACCATTGGAACGCGCCTAGCTACCTGGTATCGTTCCATTTCACCCTCTGCCTCGCATGAATACAGCTTTTCCCTTTCTGAAAAGTCAGAGTGCCAGGCAAACCATCAAATTCCAGCACCATGAAACAAGGCGAACAAAAGTCGACATCCGCCTCCCAGCACCTCTGCGGCAGGAATGAATTGTTCGTCATCCTTGGCTCATACACGAAAATCTCCTACTGCGAAGTGAGAGCCGGGTATAAAAAAACACGAGCAAAGTGACCGATGAATTAAGCTGCCTTCTTCTTGCGGCTGCTCTTCTTGGGCTCCTCAGGAGTATCAGCTACCTTGGAAGCTCTCTTGCGCTTCTTGTCGGGGCTGGCAGGTGTTGCGGTCTTAGCAGCACTCGCCTCACCATCCTCGATGTCTGCTGCAGCACTCTTTCGCTTCCTAGTAGCCTTGGCCTTGGGAGTTTGAGTTTCCACCTCAGCGACGGCTGGCGCAACAGCCATTTGTAGTTGCTCGGCGATGGCGTCTTGGTCATTAGGGGCATACGCCTCTTCACCGGACAAGACGGGCTGGGGAATGCCATTCGCATCAGCATAGGCAAGAGCATCGGGATCGCTCATATTGCGAGCATCCAAGTTACCGCCCTTATACGAATGGACTCGAGCATTGTATAGACGCAGGTTGAACTGGTATGCATTGTTCCAGGCCTGGCACTAAGGGTTAGCTAAATGAGTATGCTATTTTCCATCGGAGCACACTTACGTTCTTCTCCCCAGGGGTCATAGAAGCCCATCGACGTTGTCCCTCTTCCTGTACAGCACCCTTGGGGGCATCTTGACCTAAGTCGTTGGCGATGATAGGCCGAGCGGTTTGCATGTATAGGAAATAAGGTGTCAAGGGTCGTTTGGGGGCATTGGGATCGTGAGTTCGCTTCTTACGCTCCTTCTTCTCTTCTACATGAGCAGCCAGATCGCCAAATTGACCACTAATACCATCCAGATTTGCAATGAGGTTCTGCATGGAATGAGCGGCCCCATTGTCAAAAGGAGCCGGCTCTCCGATTAAAAGGTTGGTTTGGCGTAGAAAGTCATCTGCGAAACTCTTCATAAGACCTGTTATGGTGTTGAAACGCGCATGAACCTAAAGTGAATGTTAGATATGCAATTCATTTTAAAAGCTGGCGACTTAGGTTGGGTAGACAGTGTAGACAGTAAGACGACAATGATGATGCCCAAAGGATAAGAGGGGAGATTGGATCAGTAAGCGAGAATCGCAGTACAGACATGGTATACCTAGTAATTGCCATGGTATCACGGTGAAGCATCAGATGCGGGGTTACAAAAACAATATACGAATAAGTCGTATCTAATAGAGAATTGGATGGTTTTGATGGGGGATGACAATATGAAGTGACTGTCGCTAAACTCGGGTGTGAAGAATATCACGCAAGTGATATACCTAGTGTTTGATATTCGTCTTTACCCTCTTCGATGAGCATCTTCATGATAATCGTATGCTGATAAATTGCTCGAAATGATCTACTTATCATAGCCATATTATGTATAGAATAATTGAAGACGATTCAACGGATGAGGTAGAGAAAATAGGAAGGACAGAGAGGAAAAGGGAAAAGAATAAAAAATATTAACATACGCTGTCGCGGACTCTAATAAACTCCTCGAGGCCAATCGTTCTAGGCTGGGCACCAGGGCCTGCAGCGAGAGGTTGCTGTTGTTGAATAGGCTGTGGAGGTAGTTGGGAGGGAACTGGCTGCATTGCCATAGGTACCATAGTAGCTGGCGCTGGGGCGACAGGTGCGGGTTGTCGCGCAGGCTCCGTCTTTTTGGGGCGAGGCATTGTTGATTAGGATTGTTGCGCGTTACGTGTAGGTAGAAGAGTAGATAGGGGGGTGTTGGGATGATTGTAGTTGTGTTTAGTGCTTCTCTCTATGTTGTACTAGCAGTCTTGTGTTGTGCGGTTGTTAATAGGTAGGTACTGTAATGTACTGTCCTTATTCCCTTAAAAAACACCTGTGATAGCCTGAGTGCGTGCTAAGAACTGGTGTTGGTTGGTGGTTTTAAGGCAATAAAGGATTCTTGATGGAACAAGGTCGATCAGAATGATTAAAAAAAGAGAACCCGCCTGTGTTTCGGTGGTCAGAGGGGTCAAGAGGTGGTGCGTGGAATTGCGACCGCTGGAAAATAGTGAAGAAAGGGTAGAAAGTGGGAAATTTTGGGGGAAAGAAAGTTTCGTCGGGAGGGTGCTAAAAGGGAGGGGCGGGGCACCTCTAAATACGGTGGCCACCTAGGCTTGCTGATTTTTTAAATCACCCTTCTAGCTCGCTCTTGATCACTGATCTCTCTGATCGCTGAAGAACTGTGGAAGGAAAGAGAGGGAGGAGGGGCTGCTCCGAGCTAGGTACTAGGTAGGTTACAGGGAAAATAGGCAGGTAGCCCCTCTGCACTTTGCAAGTGGGCTGAGCTAGGTCACCTTTTTTTTTTTTACTGCAGCCCCAAAAAAAACTTTAGGTAGTACTTAGGTACTTCATGATAGGTATCTACAGTACATGTGTACCTACATATGTACCTAAGCAATACGTAGGTACTTCAATCCCTAAACAAATATCTAATTTTTCTTCGGGTATAACCACCTATTTAATAATATAAAAAATTGAAAATACATTTGAAAACACCTTAACTATCATTTCGCCCAATTCGCATGGAAATTAATAGGTTGTTGGGTGTTTTAAATAAATATTCTCTGTCAAGTTTACAGCGCGTCTCTTGTATTTCTCGTAGTGTTACCTGAAAAAAACTGGGTGTCGCGTCTAGACTTTTCAGGTGGAGGGGGGAATCAAAATCAGCCCAGTCCCATTACCCGTAGAAGGAAGGGTGCGAGAAAATATTAAAAATGAAAATAAAAATAATCAGCAGCAAAACAAGCACAGCACAAGATGGAACCAACCTAACTGGAGACATTTCGCTGCGATACTTCTAGTACTTCCTCTCTACATCAATTTGTTATTTTTGTAAGTTACTCCTTATCAGTTTATAAATGCTTGATCTTATTCAAAACTATGGTTTATTATTTATACGTTGCATTATTATGATCGAATAAATTATATAAATATTTCTCTATATTTTTCTAGTTTCAAATGTTGTTAACGGTTAGTTGTTGGTGCACTGAGACTATTCTATATTCATAGTGTCTTTAGAGATTGACTTTTTAAAAATCACATCACTAGATGCGCTGAAGAAAGACGGAGGTACCGGGAGATTTGGTGTTGCCAGCGTTCTGTCGATTTTTCTCAATTAGATGGTTGCACCCGTCTACTTAGGTACCTAACCTGGTAATAGAAGCTGCGCTACGATTGGTTCGGTGTGGAAAGTGTGCCTGTCAACCATCAAATCACATCAACGCTTTTCAGTGAAGCGCCTAAAGCGGCGGCAATTGCCGGGTCTTCCCCCCATCATCCCCCATCACCTAGGATCACCTATTGATTTTTCAGGGTCAAACCAACTCCCCCGAAAACTTTAGAGTAAAGTGCCCCATCGCTTCTATCACTTCAGCGTTTGTTTTAGCGACTTCAGCACTTCTTTTGCTCCTACCTACCTGATTTCTTCTTTTAGCTCTCTTGTTTTCCTTTTCCATTTCAGTCTGCTACCCTCTCCTAACCTTGCCATCTACACATGCCTGTAAAGCCCACAAAGCTCGCTCGCAATCAGCACAGCACCCTTCTGTTAAATGCGACGGTCGTCAACTAATAGGATTCCAGCACCTTTCGATTTGCCTATCAACGTGCTAATATCAACTGTATCACTCCACAATGCATCATACCTATACCTTCAGCATATTCATTCCTCTGTAACATGTAATGGTATCAACGCATTCGGTCTACGCCAGCGAGATCATACATCCTAGGATTTGCTATTCAAGTAGGTGAATACCTACGTAGGTACATTACATCAACCAAGCACCGGTCACTTTGGTAACTACCCAACCTTTTGGGGCTTTGGCTCATCGCCAAAAAGTTATAGTGCACTGTCACGTATTGGTATTTGATTCTACGTAGGTAAGCGAATTCCTGTATCTGAGAGCACATAACTGAAGGTCAAGAGCTATAAAGGTTCGGCTATAGTTATTCTCGAAGCTCATTATGATTCTCTACCACCTACCCATGTATCCCCGTATTCCTCGTACGTTATAATCAATAATAACCCTTCTATTATCTACACTTGAAAGTCATCTTTAGTCTAAAGCAGTATTAGAAAATAGAAAATCATTATCCTACTCTACCTAACACTATATCTTCGGATATCGCTCAGTAGCTTATTACCGTTCCGCCAGTTCCGCTAGAAGAATCCACATGGTATTTATCGAGCACCCGTAGTTATGGAATAATTTCGAGGTTCGCGATACCAACCAATTGTGCATCTACGCCTCTCTAGGAGTTCAAGCACCTATTACCTCAGCTACACGTATATACCTCACATAGGTAGGTGATTATACAGGAACTCACGGATTCTCAAGATGTATCGGGTGTAATAGCAAAATATGCCTAGATCGCCGAGTTGTCATTTCTCCTCGCCTTGCCACCTGTACTGGGAAACCACCCGGAGAATTAGATTTTCTGTCATTAATTATTGATATCTGAGAAACATCTACCTATGAACTCGTTATATACTATTAGACCCTATTTCATACTATTCACACCAAAACAGCCAGCTCCCTGTTATCATACCTAACATCATACACCCAAATAGCTAAGTCTTGCTATTTGATTACAATACGTATAGTCGATAGGTATATTGGTATTATTGTAATACTAAGTACTTGAAGCGGCTCCAACAATCCTATACTTGATGACCACCCATAGATATCACTCGAAAGTACTCACCTAGCAGACGAATAGATACCACAGCTAGGTTATTACAGAAACGACATTCAAAAGGGAATATATTTAAATCGAAAACTATCAAGACATTCTCTAGCGAGCCAAATCTACCTAGGTAATGCGACAACATAAACGATATTGAACATAAGAATCAAATCATTAAGAGGTGAGTGACTAGGTATGGAGAAGGGTCGTGATATTACCCCTCACTTGAAGAACCCATCAATATTAGGCGTATTAAGAGGTGTCTACACTCTACACCTCAACATTATAATCGACCATAAGCGCAAAGTAATAGCCTATCTAACATGATAAAGTAGCTAAGCACTTACGTATATCGGGGTTGTTATTCGACACTGAGTCGAGAATTAGTCCTATATATATCTGGTAGCTAGGTAGTCTTTCGTGTAGTACGTCGACCTCGCGGGTCTTCTGCACCTGAATATATGAGATAATCCCTCTACCATCATCTACGTATAATGAAGACTCCAAGTCCATCATTTCAACATCAAGGCATTACAAAGTTGCATTCATATTATGTACTTTATACATAAGCCCAAAATATAGGTGTCTACCTAGGTATCTATGGACTTAAAGAAGGGAAATGACCTCCTTCTACAAACAATATCATCTTCCAACGTCTGCTACTCTTCCCCACCTGGATATTTCTCCATTGGGTACATACCTAGGTACCTAGGTGGTAAACATTAGTCGGATAATTCCTTCTTCCCATCCGTTTACCAATATTCGTGACCCAACTTGCCTAGGCACATGTAGGTGAGTTCACCTAACCTGTTTTGCTCGTTACACATCTGGAGAATCGTTCCGTTGAGGATTTCGGATAAGCAAGGGTATCGTATCTAAGTTATGAGACGTTGACTTGTCAATCATCTTGTAGAAAGCCTCTCCAGCTGATTCATGAGCAAACAACCATGTACGCGGGTTACGCAGACCAAACGCCAATATTGTTATGTACCTATTATTTCGTATTATTTTTATGATAGATTCGAGGTGGAGCCCGAATCTTGTCATATAGAAAATATTTATACTGCCTACCTAAGTATATATGTAGACGTACCCAGGTAGATTACAGTATAAACAATAATGCATCATAAAATCATTACTGTGCTTTTATGTAGGTACTTCAGCTTATCGACTTTTTCGCGCCGGCATAAATTGTTTCAGTTATGATCAAATAGAATCCACTTAAAACCGGTATCGCGGGCTTGGCAGTTGCTTGGCAGACGGCTGCACAAGTCGCACAGATTGAACTACGAACCAGTAAGAGTCATCCTACTCTCCTAGGTACTACCTCAGGTACTACCCCTCCAAACTGACGATCTGTTGCACTAGCACCGGACCCATGCACGTACGTAACTGCCTACATGTGTATGTATCTTTAGCTTGTCAGGCTACCCAGGCTTGCTTAGGGAAGTATCACCCACCTAACCCACCTACCCACATACAGTACCTGGGTTACCCATAGCAAGCTGAGCTTCTTGCTACCCCTCCCCCTCCTTTTTTTCTTCCTCCTGTAAGTAATTTCTGGAACGTGTAGTCCCTTAATAGTATCACATCACGTCACCCTTCAACCTTGACCTGGCAAGCATATTCATTCTTATTAGGTACGACATTATTATTATGTTGTCTTAATAAATCAGTTTGATTTCCGACCTATCTGCCCGTGGTCATAATTCTCTTTTTTTCAATTATTCCTGCCACCACTTTCGACAACAAAACCCCCAATTACCAACACTCATTAAATACATCATTCACAAAATATCATTGAATTGAGGCAGCCAAGATGATCACCCTCAAGCCCTTCCCCGCCTTCCTGGGGTTGGTTTTCCTATTCGTATTCGCCCGTCCTGCTCTTGCTTTCGGTGCTGGTAACATCGCTGGTATGTTCGATCATTCTATATTCGCCCTGTAGGCTAGATAGGTGGACAGGTTGTTATGCGGGAGGACTCTATGTTGACTAGGCTAACTTAACATTCTAGGCATCTCTCGAGTCGAGGGACAGAATTGTAAGTACCCCTCAAGTCCGATCTTGTAATAGGTTATCTTATACCTATGTATCTAACCTAGAGGTATAACTAGGGCGTCATGGAGATATTGAAGATACCCTTCTAACCATCTTAATGGCTCGAGCCGTTGGAGGCAAGAAGTTCGACAAGCTTATGGTATCTCGTGTTTACTTCGGAAACTGGCTTCGAGATTATTCCCAGGCTATTGATGTCGGTACCGTCAAAGCTGTCTCGGCCGAAGCCATCCGACTACTTCTTTGTGTCCTCGGCTTTTTGACCTTTGGATACGGTTCCAAGGAATTCGAAGTTACTGCTGAGCGTCTTGGTTGCTATAGGCCAGAAGACCATATCGATAACCCGAAGAACTATGCCGACAACCAAGATGCTCGACAATATGACCGCAGATTGCGTGGCCCAGTTGATGAGAGAGTTGAACTCGCCATCGACCCGGAGACAGGCTTGAAGAACTACATCGCGAACGAGCGTTCCAGGATTATGACATCGGCACTTCACGTTAGGCGACTGTTTAGTCGCTGCATTGAACTTGGTCGATCTTACAAGCGAAACAACAGGAAGAGCGACCTACACGAGGCTCTGCGATTGCTCGGTACTGGTCTTCACTGTCTTGAAGGTAAATACCCTGAAATTCTATATTATATGCCGACTTAGCTCTCGTATTGAACCTGAATTCATCTAAACTAACACGAAATAGATTTCCTTGCCCACAGTAACTACACAGAGCTGGCACTTATCGAGCTAGGCGAGCGTGATATCTTCCCGCATGTTGGTAGACGCTCTAGAATCCAAATCCCTGGCGCCCGGCACGAAGTCTACCCTTGTGTGACTGGAACTTTTGGAGGCGTCGACTTCCTACATTCCGTTACTGGAGAAGGTCAGTCTAACTATGAATATGTACCCTAGGATCCCATATATCATAGCTAACCAGGAGATCTAGTCTCGGATAAGCTTACACAGAACGAGATTCAAGAACTTGAGGGAACCCTTGAAGAGAGTTCAAGGAAGAACGATACTAGCATTCTGGAAGGACTCCTTGACAAAATCCCGGATGGAATCTTTGGCGGCGACAACAAGAAACAGAAGATGGAAGACATCCAGAGCAATGCTGCTAGCGCGCAGATGGCCAATACTTCCATCTCTCCAAGGGAACCAGAGGAATTTACTCGATACATCCAACAGGTCTACCAACAGGTTATGCCTGCCATTGAATTCCACGATGACCTCATCAAGGCTATTACCGAGGCAATCGAGAAGATCCCCGTCCTACCTCAACTTATCGAACAGCTTGAGGATCAGTTGTCGATGTGGGTTTTCTCAATTATGGCGCCTTTTGTTGTTCCCATCATCCAGCAGGTCAAGAATGAGCTTCGTACTGGCTCATCAGAGATTATTGAGAGCAGCAAGAACGAGCAGCATATTGTCTTCGACGATGATGAATGCACTGACCCAACACACTCTATGCTCTCTAAGGACCATTTCTCCAACGTAAGTCTTCTTTACATTCTGCCTTGACGTTCTTTTTACTAATTGCTTCTAGATCCTTAACGAAATTGCGGGTAAGACTGCTAGTAAGGTCGTCTATTGGGTAGTTCCTCAGATTATGGACGCCTGGGATGATGAGAGAGTCGACGTGGACCGTCTGAATGACCGCATAATTAACGGAGTCCTCCACCACCCGGCTCAGCGCGACATGGGAGAGGATGGAGCCCGCGATGGTCGACAGATCATGTTCCGTTCCGTCGAGGAATGGTGGAGCCAGATGGACGAGGATGCGAAGGATGAATACCGCCAGAAGCTCTCTCGCGATGGCGTCCTAAACGGCGAAAACCACAAGGAAGGAGTTGAGGACTCTGGCCACGGCTGCGGAAAGCCTCTTGGTATGCACAAGAACTTTGGTCAAGGTGGAAATGCTGAAGACCGTATTACCAACGCCGCTGCTGATGCCATCGTCGGAGGCGTTACTGGCGGTATCTCTGACTTTGTCAAGACTCAATCTGGTGGGCAGATCAACTTGCCGAACTTCGGAGGGCAGGAGTCTAGCAGTTCCGGTGGTGGAGGTGGAGGACTCCTGGGAGCTATTGGTAGTTCTCTACTAGGCGGTACTTTCAAAAGTGGTGAAACAGAATCTTTTGGAAGTAGACGCCAAGCCGATGATGGGTCTTATAGCGAAAGTCGAACTGAGTACGGACGCTCTGGAGATCGTTACGGCCAGGCCGAATATTCCGAGAGTCAACATACCGGAGGAGGCGAGAGTCGGGAGTACCGTCGTTACGAGCAAGATGACGATGGTCGAGGTTATGGATACCAAGAGCGTACTGACTCTCGTCCTAGCTACGGTGGTGGGTATGAGGAGCGCACGGAACGTCGATACGAAAGTAACGACGACAGCTACGGCGAATCTGGTGGGTGGAACCGACGCGGAGGCTATGACAACGATAACTCTGGCGGACGCCAAGAGGGTTACGGTAGCGATAACTACCGCCGTGAAGAGCGTTCGTATGAGTCTTCCTATGGTAATGATCGATACGAGCGTCGCGAGGAAGGTTCGGGATATGGCCGCTCGGGTGGATACGATCGTGAGGAGAGCTCTGGGTATGGACGTTCTGGTGACTACGGCCGCGAAGAGAGATCCGACTACGACGACCGCCGAGAGAGGCGTCGCGACGATGACGGTGGATCAGGTGGATTCCTAGATCAAGTTATAGATCGCGTCGGCGACGCTCTTGATGATGATAATGGCCGCCGCCGTCGTGATGAAGGAGGTAGCGGATGGGGCTTCTAATGAGGTTATGTTATTCAACGCGATGCCTTCTGGTATGCGATTGATGGTATTGGCGAGGAGTTCGGTGGGTGTGTTGAATGCTGCTACATGAGGTTAGGATGTGCGTTGTGTTGAAGATACTCCGAAAAGTTGTGACGTTAGGGGATCTACGTCGTCATCAGATACTTTTTCTCGCTCTCGATTTATAATCGATTTGCTTTTAAACGAATCAACGAAGTCATACGGACGATGTTCCCCTATGGTAGCTACGAAGTGATAAGGTACATGTAACAGATAACAGGTAACCATACATGCATAGGTATTCTTGCTTATGCCCCCGGGTCAAGCGTGACATCCATGCCTACTCCGCATTTGCCTATGCGGGGAGATCATCAAAGGGGTTCTCCCAGGTACACGTACCTGTAGCTAGTGTCTTCTCTGGTATATGACCTCACGGAGCTAGGTTCCCGTCGGCTATTGGACGCTAGGTCTTTTTCCAGATAGTCTTCCCAATTTTGCCAGACCCTTACTCCACCCAGTTAGGCTCCGTTCCATCAACGGAGCCCTATCTGCGACAATCACCTATATATCTCCCATTTAATATTATGCAAGATCCCACCACCGCGGCTTGCCAAACGACTTAGGGATTTTCCATGGCAAAGTGCCTAGAAATCGCATAGTGATGGAAAGAGATTACTGCTTCCGGTGGGCCATAGTGAGAGGGGATATGATCGGCGGCCCTGTTTTTCAATCTAATCGTAAATGGCTCAGGAGCAAGTTCCTTGAGATCATTTAAAGACAGGCCGGATTCCGGATTGCGTGCTTCAATCCTCTTCTTTTTCCTTTGGCCTTTTCTCCAATACGTCAAGACTATTCTAGCCAAACCTCGCCACCAGTGGATAAGAAAAGGTAGAAAAAAATACCCAAAGATGCAACTCACGACGATTCTGGGGCTCGCGGTCCTCCCGCTAGTAACCCGTCTTACTTCAGCACAGGGGGCATCCGGTAATGGAGAGACGACGCGATACTGGGATTGCTGCAAGCCGAGTTGCGGCTGGTCGGCGAAGACGAACAGCGGAAAGCTGATCGGAACGTGTAGCAAGTCGGATCAACCACTGAACGACAACGGAGCGACTAAGAGTGGATGCGACAATGGCGGTTCGGCCTATATGTGTAGCAACCAGAGCCCCTGGGCTGTCAACGAGACCCACAGCTACGGCTGGGCTGCTGTTCGTATCCAAGGCCAGACCGAGACTACCTGGTGCTGCGCCTGCTATGAACTCACCTTCACCAGCGGTCCCGTCAGCGGAAAGAAGATGATCGTCCAGGCTAGCAACACTGGTGGTGATCTAAACCAAAACCACTTTGATCTTGCTGTATGTTATAAACATTTTGTTTTAACCACCCTAACCTTATTTACCCCTTTATTTGTATCGAATTTCGACTAATACCTATTATAGATCCCCGGTGGTGGTGTCGGTCTCTACAACGCGTGCACGGACCAGTACGGTGCTCCTTCCAACGGATGGGGTGAACGATACGGAGGTATCTCATCGCGTGAGGCTTGTGATTCATTCCCTGCCGCCCTCAAGGATGGATGCTACTGGCGATTTGACTGGTTTGGCGGCGCCGACAACCCGGGCGTTTCCTTCAAGCAGGTTGCTTGCCCTACTGCTCTTGTCGCTAAGAGTGGTTGCTCGCGCAACAACGATGCCATCGACGAGACTCCTGTCGGTCCTAGCAGTGTCAGCACATACACAGCTGCCGCTACAGCCACCGGTAGCGCTAGTTTCTAAGCTAGGCACCTATCTATACATAGTGTGTGGTCAAATAGCGAAGACATATGGTGATATACCGATGGGGTAGGGTTGGCATGAGGAGACGGTGGATATATGTATATAGTTGATAGACGCTCAGCGTGGAAAGTACATACTTATACAGCTTCGTGCATGGCTTTCGATGTCTACCTTCCAACCCCCTATATCCATCCTACTTCTATTGGTTAGAATAACCATGTATGGTGTCTCCGAGTTGGTTCTAATTCGAGATTCTACCGTTTGAAGCCATGTCACGGAATTGTCTCTTACTGACGCTAAAACACGGCGCAGAAATAATAGTTATCACGTCAGTCGGATGCTACTAACATGTAAAAAAATGGTTGAATACCTAAGGGATCCGAATAAATCAATCCCATCCTCATAACTCGATCGTACTTAGGTAAGATCAGAATACAGTAGATTCTAATACCATAAGACTAGTTTTCGATCCGGGATGGGATAATCGAGATCAAATCCGGCTAGGAGCGTATGATTCGTACCACTTTCCACTGCCCACTCCGCTTCCCATAAGCAGTCACAAAACACCCAATGAAAAAAATTACTATAATCCCCCATGAGCACCTCGTATTGTCGTCACTTCTTGGCGTAAACGGCATTTATCCTAAAATCTGCAGGCCAAGCTGCTTCTGAGATCTAATGCTACCCCACGTGTCTCTAATAAACATAACTGTAGGCCATTTATCTCGAACAGTCCTCAAGCAGAAGCTTGAAAATGACGTGCTGTAGCTCGAGCTTACCTAGACGCCTTTAGTCTCCAAGGAATTCGGCCGAGAGACCAGTTGAAAGTTCGCTATAAATAATTGGTTCCGCAGAAGAATTAAGCTGTTAATCTGTTGTAGCATCGACCTAAACATTTTTGAATCATTCATCTATTTCTTCGTTTACCTCGTAAAATGTGGGCTGGCGCTCCCTTCGTTTATTCCCTGGCGGTGTTCAACGCAGCCATGGCGGCTAACCTGCCTTTGCGCATCGTCTCTTTTAATATTCGTTACGCCGCAACATCTCTCGATACAAACGAAAAGCCATGGGCGGACCGTCGCACAGGTCTTATCAACCAGGTCAATACAGTAATTTCCAATGCATCAACAGCTGGAGCTGTGTCCGTTCTGGGGCTGCAAGAGGTTCTGGATGCTCAACTAAGCGACATAAAAAATGGACTAGGATCCGAATGGACGCATATCGGATTCGGTCGCGACGATGGGAAGAAGTCGGGGGAGTACAACCCAATCATTTACCGGCCCGACACCCTCAAATTGGTGTACAGTGAACAGAAGTGGCTTTCGCCCACTCCAGATAAAGTCTCGTTCGGGTGGGGTGCTGGTAGCCGGCGAGTTGTGGTGATTGGCGTTTTCGAAAATGTCAAGACGGGGGAGCGTTTCATTCACGCGAATACGCATTTGGACAACGTGAGCTCACAAGCTCGGAGCGAAGGGATTAAGGTCGTGGTGTCGCGCATTCAGGCCGTCCAAGAAGAATACGGGCCTCTGGGTGTAACTCTCACAGGTGACTTCAATTCGGAGCCAGGTGGTGACGCGTATAGCACACTCGAGGATACAGGATATCTCACGGAGTTGTGGAACTCAGGAGCCACGCGGTTAGGGACTAATCAACTGACCTACACAGGCTTCTCGACAACAGGTAAGACTCGAATCGACTTCGTCTGGTTTGGCCCTACCGATGAGGACCGGTATTCAGCGAAACAGTTCGAGTTTTTAAATAATTATATCGACGGCGTCTTCATAAGCGACCATCGGGCTGTTGTTGCGGATCTCGTGTTGCTTTAGGATTAATAGTCTTGTGTTAAGATTGGGTCAGGAATCGTCACGGGCTGATTCTCATTACCTTGGAATGTTAGGCACCAAGTGTGATGGAATGATTTGATTTCGTTATATCCATGAGGCTACATATTTTGTAAAATCATACATCTATGATTAATATTACAATAAATAGCCTAGGAACTGGGTGTGATCAGTCATTTCATCAACGTAAGAACATGTCTACGTTGGCTATTAACAGGAAGAGGAATTGGAAACTTTTAATAAGATGGTTGATTTTCCATGTTTATATGGTTAGCTGCTAAAATTCAACCCCTTTATGACTTTTTCACTTGTTGAAAGAATAGACTCACGTATAAATGTATTTAAAAGTAATATTCTCTAAATGAGACTAATATGTACTTACAAGGATCTGCCATGAAACAGCCAACCAATGCCTGAAGCTTAAGACTCAACGCCAAGATGATCATCGAGTTTCAAGTTTCAAGTAAGAGTTCCAATGTCGGAGCCAATTCTATAATTATAATTATAAATATGTCTCGACTCTCTTGTTCTCGGTATCTAAAATCTATATAGTTGTAATAGATGCCTACATTTTACGGGGAAATCAATTAATAATGAATTCTTACTCTAGCTTCTTATAACATATTCTACTCATATTCAATTGGAATTGGGTTGTCCTTGAATATCTACTTTTTCAAGTTATCTTAATGCTTCCCACCATTCCTTAATCCACGAGAGCCATTTCCTTCTTAGCAATTTCGTCGTTGCAGAAACTTAGATACTTAACTTACTGACTCGCTTTTATCTGGAGGACACGAGGCTTCACGCCCCGCGTTACGATGGATTCCAGCAAGGAGCAATTGTTAAGCCCAAACTCCGAGCACGAGTACGAACACTTTCGTCGATCCTACGATGCTCGTTCGTCCTTCGATCTTGACTCCGATCTAGACGCGACCGAATTTTTACAGTCCGATCCCCTTACCTCCTCTAAACCGTCTTCCTCTGCTGCTGCTTTCTCGACACAACCTCGTAGTCGCTGGCTGCGGAAACCGTGCGGATGCCTCGCCGGCCGATCGACTAGATGTATAATCGGTTGCCTTGGCCTTTTTGCATTGGTATGGTTGGCTCTCGGTGCGGGGGGTTTCTTTGCGTTTAAAAAATACAAACAAGCGCCGCCAGATGGCTTGTCGCCACCATGGTATCCGACACCCAAGGGTGGTACCGCGAGGAGTTGGGCCGACAGTTATCGGAAGGCGAGCGAAATGGTTGCCAAGATGACACTACCTGAAAAGGTAAATGTGACAACAGGAACGGGATGGAAGATGGGACCGGCCGTGGGAAATACCGGCCCTGCGATCCACGTAGGGTTTCCCGCCCTGGCACTTCAGGATGGGCCTTTGGGTATCCGCTTTGCCGACAATGCCACCGCATTTCCGGCCGGCGTCACTGTTGGAGCAACGTGGAATAAAGATCTGATGTATCGATGGGGAAATGCTCACGCGATAGAGGCCAGGAAAAAAGGTATAAATGTGATATTAGGTCCTTGCATAGGCCCGTTAGGTCGTATGCCCGCAGGCGGAAGAAACTGGGAAGGTTTTGGAGCAGATCCCTATCTTCAAGGCATTGCAGCGGCTGAATCTATCAAGGGAATCCAAGATGAGGGTGTTATGGCTACTATCAAACATCTCGTCGCAAACGAACAGGAACACTTTCGTCAATCGTGGGAATGGGGTCTGCCGAATGCTCTGAGCGCCAATATCGATGACCGGACGATGCACGAGTTGTACTTGTGGCCATTTAGTGATGCGGTGAAGGCGGGTGTGGCCAGTATTATGTGCAGTTATAACATGATCAACAACTCGTATGCATGTGGGAACTCGAAACTTCTAAACGGACTGTTACGAGATGAAATGGGTTTCCAAGGCTTCGTCATGAGCGACTGGCTAGCTCAGAGAAGTGGCGTTGCTAGCGCTCTGGCTGGTCTAGATATGACTATGCCTGGCGACGGTCTATTCTGGGAGGACGGCAAATCTCTCTGGGGTCCTGAGCTTACGAGGTCTATTATTAATGGCTCTGTGCCGTTGGAAAGGTTGAATGATATGGTAACTCGAATTGTTGCTGCTTGGTACCAGCTAGGTCAGGATGATGAGTCCAAGTTTGACCGCAAAGGACCCAATTTTTCTTCTTGGACAGACGAACCCGAAGGTGTATTTGCGCCAGGCAGTCCTACGAAACAGGAATCAATTCCGGTGAATCAGTATATCAACGTGATGGCTGATCACGCGTCCATTGCGCGGCAAGTTGCAGCTGAAGGCACTGTTCTCCTGAAAAACGAAGGGCTGCTGCCTCTCACCCGAGATAATGGTACCCATTCAAATGAGACAAAATCGCGTGAAAGTCCACTTCAGGTCGCCATATTTGGCGAGGACGCTGGTCCCGGTCAAGGTCCTAATCACTGTCCGGATCGCGGTTGTAACCAAGGAACACTAGCCTCAGGTTGGGGTTCTGGTTCGGTGGAGTTCCCTTACCTCGTCACCCCGGTCGAGGCATTAGTTAAGAGTTGGGAAGATAATAAGGCAGTAAATGTGTCTACCTATCTAACGAACAAGCCACCATTTTCGAAACAACCTGGAATCTTACAAGATGCCTACTTATGTATCGTTTTCGCGAACGCTGACTCCGGCGAAGGGTATAAGGCCTGGGAGGGAGTGAATGGTGATCGACCTGACCTCTTCTTGCAGAAAGGTGGAGATGATTTGATCGTCCAAGTAGCACAAGGATGCCACGGTGGTGATGGCGATGTGCTTGTCGTCATACATACGGTTGGTCCTGTCGTGATGGAGAAGTGGATCGATCTACCTAATATTAAAGCGGTGCTCCTTGCGAACCTTCCTGGCCAAGAGAGCGGCAACGCCTTAGTAGATATCCTCTTTGGGGATGTCAACCCTAGCGGAAAGCTTCCATGGACTATAGGAAAGACCTTGGACGACTACGGCGAGGGTGCTAAAGTCATGTTTTTGCCAAATGGCGTTGTGCCCCAGCAAGACTTCAAAGAAGGATTATATGTCGATTATCGTTACTTCGACAAGTATGAGATAGAGCCACGGTTCGAGTTCGGGTTCGGGCTAAGTTACACCACCTTCGAAATCGCCGAACCCGTCGTCAAACAGCTCAAAGCGAAGGCCCCACTTCCTTCACCACGACCCAAGGATTTCGCTGTCCCACCCGAGTATGATTCTAGCATTCCCGACGAAGAGGAGGTACTCTTCCCGGATGGTTTCCATAAACTTGAGAAATACGTCTATCCCTATCTTGATGCTGTCGACGATATAGTGTCTGAACCATATCCATACCCTGATGGTTATGATATTAAGCAACCCTTATCCGGCGCAGGAGGTGATGAGGGAGGAAACCCCGACCTCTGGGAGATTTACGTTACGGTGTCTGTTAACGTCACGAACACTGGTGGTAAGGCGGGCAAAGTTGTCCCACAGTTGTATCTGAGCTATCCCCATACTGTTTCGTCAGTTGACTTCCCAATTAAGGTATTACGAGGATTCGATAAGTTATTTCTAGAGAAAGATGAGACAAAGACGGTTAGATTCAACTTGACTAGACGGGATTTGAGCTATTGGGATTCCGAGCTGCAAAATTGGTCTATGGTTGTCGATGGAGAGTACAAATTTACGGTCGGTAGGAGTTCAAGAGATCTACCTGTTTCGACAACTTGGTAGCCCACGTACAGCCAAAGCCCGATGAACAATACGACATACGGGCTAATTCCCAATTTTTGCATTTATAGCATAGGCGAAGGGAGTAGGTGTCGCGGGGAAAACCATCATCTTGTTATGGCGTTTATTTATTGTTGTCTAGCGTTATTCGACCCAGTTCGTGAACAATGAATTATGGAAATTATTCTTGAAACTCCGATCCGTATTACTGTCTATCCAAGGGAAGTACCCACGATAATGCTCATTTATAATATCCTCTTCCAGGTTATTTGTAAGTTCCACAAGATCATCGCGAGCTCGTCCCCTAGTTTTATAGATGGTTCATCACGCATATGAGAACCACCTTGCAATTGTTACGCGTTGGCTGTGATGGAGGTAAGTTGACTCAGCGCAAGTCACCGCCAATGATGTCATGACAAAAATAATCGAAATTGAAACTATTGTTGAGGTACTGTATATGGTGACTTTGGTAGGATGCACATATGTATCAGGACTTCTTCGTATATGTAACAGCTAGTATAGTAGGTATAGTAGATACACAGTCAATATATCACACAGGTTACATACCGTATCTCTTACGCATCCGTTTATGTTCCCAAGGTAGGTGAAATGGAACCATTAAGTACATACTCTTCCCGCAGTGCTGCGACCCTCGGTCCCCCACTGACGATCCATTTAATCCACCCAACCAGCTAACATTGTGGCGTTGACTGGAAAGGTAGTCTCTAAATTTTCTTTTCTTTTTTTATAAAAAGGAAGAAAAAGCACGAAAAATGGAAGCTCGGACGGCGATAGGGGACACATCAAAAGCTGAGATCGTATCAAATTTCGTCTCAAACACCTAGGAATTGAATTTCACCCCGGTCCATTTAGCAAAAGCCTCTAATAAACGCCACTGCAATGACTCTGCAGCTCTGTACAGTGAAAGCTAAGCGACCCTGGTTTCCAACTATGTTCCCCCACGGGATCCTTCTAAAAATTCATCATTCGAATTCACACAACGGCTTCGGCTTTCATGCGTTGTCTTTCGAAGCATCAAACTCTGAGTGGTTTTCCTTTTCCGGCAACAACGTGCAGCGTGTATGATATATTCTCCCGTCTACTCACCCACTCGAACTCTTAGCTGACGGTGGGCCTTGGTAAATTAATAAAGCATCATTTATGATTTGCACATAATATAATACATGAATATACATGAATATTCATAATTGCGATTTGCTAGCCGTTGTTCGCCATTCTTCTTCAAGCTCTCCAAAATCAGAATTATTATTCGGTTCATCTCCAACACATCTTCTCAATATTACGGATCGAGGATGATCCGTCTACAGAGTTCTCTTATCGTATAATCGCTCTCCTCATACAGGCCATAAAACCCCGCTGTTCTCTCAACTACAGCATACGGTACCCAAGAGGATAATGATTGCAGGTCTGGTAGTCGTTCAGAATCTACCGCCATGAATAAACCGATAAGCGTCCTTAACCAATTGTCAAGCCAGGGAAAAGGGACCACCGCGCCTGGATCCTCCGGGAAGATTGCATTAGCCCGCGTCTCGATATTTTCGCCAAGGTAGTGAACCGTTCCAGGATTCGCTGCCGGCCCCTCTTTGGTGGAAAGGTCTAAAGATATCAATTGCATCATGAGCTATTACACCTGTAAGTATAAGGCATGGAAATTATACAGGCCCTCTAGGTAGAGAACATACTTTCCCAACGTCCCAGAGATTTTGTTCTTTGGCTACATCGATAAGCTCCTCATCAGTTACGTCGCTATTACCAAAATCAATGAGCTTTAGATTCGGCGTGAATGCGTGCTCCCCAGGCGCGAAATCTCCTAGAAGGACTAGATAAAAATCAGATCCGCAGTTTCAAGCAATCAACATACCATTTCCAGCGTGGAAGTCATTATGGAGAAACCCTATAGGCTCGATTCCCGGCTTTGGGAGTTCTAGTTCTAGCATGCCATCTTGGCGATTCCTGGGCCACTATAACCAACTAGTCAGTAGCGTAGGGGGATTATGGGGCTAGAAGGTTACTTGCAGCCATGCCACAGCAGGCTCTTACAACTGGGGACACCTCTAATTAGCTTGACCAAAATCTAAACTTCTATGCCATAATGTCCATTCCTTGACTTACAGCATAAGAGAAATCTCCAAAGTAAACGGTTAGGTAGTCGCGTAACTCCTTGGTCCCTTGCCTTCCTAATGAATGCCTCTAGCGTGCCGTTCGGCAGCCACTCTAACATCAGCCAGTCCCCTTGAAGACCACTATTTTTTAGAGGGTCGTCGGCAATGTTGAGTATCTGGGCTATGTGCATTCCACCGCGTAGCAACTATTTTTAGCGATGTTAGCCTAAGTAAGCACAGTTCTGCGCCAGCTTGCTCAGAGAATATATACTTTAAGATGACCCCTTTCCGCTTGCATAGAAGCCAACGCCTCCTGATCATCGTAAGCGACTTTAACTAAAAAATCGGCCACATCCCACATCCCATTATTGGCATAAATGTATTGCACACGATGCGTACTACCGAATCCACCGGCGGCGACCGGTTGGCGATAAACAAAGCGAGAATCTCTCGAGAAGTACACCTCGAGTTCGTTGGCCAGATCTTGAAGTTTTGCAGGATCCATTTTTCGTGTAGATACCTACTTATGTAATCGTTATTGGATGGGGATTGCAAGTTAACTTAAACAATATTGGTTTAATTCTTATAATTGTTCCCATCCTAGAGCTAGCCAACCTCTTTGTGACCATGTTGGTCAAAGAGCCCGATTCTTCAATGAACTAATATAAGGCTTAGAGTTTGAAAACGGTATCAGCAGTAAGAGGCATTTAGCGTAGCGATGCGACGGCTTTGTCAGTTACATAGATTTATCATCCAGACAGGCGTCTGATTCATTATTATTATTTTTATTTTATAATATTACATGCCGAACAACAATCAATTCGGTTCTTAGTGCATCTATATCTCTACTTACTCTACGATAGCTTCAGCGCACATCCCTCAGCCTATTGCTTTAGCTTTGTGACTACCAAGGTACTGCAAAGGGTTTCTTGACATTCTTTAGAGATTGCATACTAATCTGCTATGAAATACTAGTATTAAAATAGTCGGTAACACGAATTTTAGCCTTACAAACACCCATACCAGTCCCCCGTGAGGAGTAGATAATATCAGTGACCTGGTTTTCAAAAAGAGATTGGAAAAGCATCGGCTTTCACCTTAACGCCACTCTTCATTTCGTAGACCACAGTGCGATACATTACAAGGTACATCCTCATGCATAAGAGGGCCAATGATAGAAAGAGTTGGATTGATAAGAAAAAGCAACCGAGGGGGGGAACCGTGTTACTATAGGTACTTCCCCCGTAGATTTAACAGCTATTGCTGCACTCAATGCATCCTACATATAGCTGGGCTTATATATCGTACCTCTTTAGCAAAAAGGACAATCGCAATCGATAATGATGCGTACATTTTACCCAAATTCTTCCATAACCCCCAAATCGATCTACGTCTAGGACTGATCTGTTCCGATTTAAATGCTAGCACTTTGTGGCACTACATAAGAGTGACGATGAATTTTTTATAGTATAAAGGGAAATGGGAAGAATATATCATATTATGAGTATTTGAGCGAAGGGAATGTTATAGCAATGTTTATTGATAGTTTGTGGCATGTCGCCGTAGCGTCTATGAATTTGTGAAGATTGTATGTGGGTTTGATGATGCATTGGTCGATATATTCTTTCTTAAGTATCATTGATGATCATGCTGGCTAGCTGCTCAGCCATAGCGTAGAGCGTAGCCTGTAAGTGCCCACCTAAAGGTGTTGGGATGATGCTTGCATCAGCAACTCTTAAACCTTTGACACCAAGCACTTTACCTTCCGCGTCAACTACTTTACCCATAGCTGCGGTTCCTCCAGAAAGATAATGCTGCATCCCCGCCCGCCGAATTCTTTCTTCAATTTCTTCATCACTAGAATCAGCTGCGAGTGGCTTCAAACCATCTAGCCCTTCTCCTGAAGGTGGAGTTTCACTCTCGATGATGGCTTTCATAGGGCTGGTCGCTAGCATGGCGGTCAGTGTTCGACGAGCGGCGTATATGAGCGTGTCGCGATCCAATGGGGTGGAGAAGTGGTTTGGTTGGATGCGCGGGGGGTCCTTCGGATTACTCGAACGAATCGACACCGTACCTCGTGATGTAGGAAGTAACAGCATGGTTGAAGTAGCGATGTGGGTGCCATCAACTGGAATGCCTGGTATTCCAGGTGGTAGGTAAAGAGTTATGACTTCGTAATAGCTTCTACCCCCCTCCTCCGCTTTGTATTCATGCTCCTTGATGATCTCCGGCGGGAGAGGCTCATAGATGACCCAGTCCCATGGCAGGCCTTTGAATAAAGAGGGGTTCTGCCAACTCTGACTTCCAAATGCATATCCTAAAGAAGGATCGCGCAAACGGAAAGCGAAGTAAACAGCAAAATGATCATGGAGATTCTGGCCGACCTGCGGAGATTCCCGCACAACGGGGATGCGTTGTTCGGCAAGAGCGGCGGATGGACCGATGCCTGATAACATAAGAATTTGAGGAGTACGGTAAGCACCAGCGCAAATAATAACCTCCTTCCGGGCTACGAGTTTTTGTCCGTCAATTAACTCCACTCCGGTAGCGGTGGTGCCGGAAAAGGTGACTGTGTACCGTGGTGTTGGTGAACACTTTCACACTGTGAAGCGGATAAGCTATGTTAGATGGCTGCCTCATGCCATTGCGAGAATTCTCGAGCATTTCTGTCAAACCTGTAATCGTGCCGCTTTTCTTCTGTAGATTGAGAGTCACTCCTAGCTCAGACCATGTCTCTCGTACCGGGCCACGGAGAGTATATTCACGTTGTCCGGGTTCGGATGCAGATATTGGAGTGACATGCATAGGTCCATCAAAACCATGTTCATCGGTATTCGTGTTTAGGCCGTGGAAGTTTTCTGACTTGCGGAACCAAGGTTTAAATCCCTCGTAGCCCCAGCGTTTGTCATTGACTACTTCAGCCCATTCGTCGTAATCCCTGGCGTCTGCACGTAACCAGCTGCCATAGTTGAGAATTGTACCACCACCGAGCGCCTTGCCAGTGTTAAGGGTATGTGTGCGACCAGCTGTATTCAGTACAGGGTCGCTTTGATAAGCATGATCAAACTCGCTACCGAGAAGTGACAGACCACTCAAGAAGCTGGCAGCGGCAGTATTCCCAGATGGATCGGATCCCGTTTCCAGTAGGATAACTTCAAGCTTCCCACCGCTCTGACTCAGGCGTGAGGCCACGACGCATCCTGTCAACCCACCGCCAACAATGATATAATCCGCAACAAGGTAACCCATATTGGGTGAGTTTTTTTTTTGAGAACAATTGTGATGGGTACGAGGGATTGGGAATATCACGGTAGGGGACGAAAGTGGCTAAATAAGTGAAGGGGATGTAGATGTGGGATGTAAAAAATAACGGGATGGCTTCATTTATTGCGTGCAATAGGTGTTTCATTGACCGCATTACCGACTTTGTATGTTTCTATATTTCTATTGAATGATTAGGCTGGGCATGCGGCATTTGTATGGCTGCCCTCTCGCTATCCCTTGCTTAGTAGGTACCCAGATACTAACAAAAGTGACTTTCGGTAGTAAAGCCTCTACATTATTACCATCGAGGGAATCGTAGTGCTCTATAGTTGGCTGAGTCTAGGTAGGGAGGTATGTATAATATTTATACAAGTTTTACGAGTCGTTCACCTAGTGTACCTAATAGTCTCGCATATCCGCTATTAAGCCCCAGTGTCTTCCAAGATTCCCCATTTCGAATTTTAGATGCTTGAATCATCGCATCTAGTTTCGCATCGGTAGGATTGGGTTTACAATGAAATTCTTCAATTAGACAACGAGCTTCATTCCTCATCATCCCGTTGATGAAACAATCCCCAATGAGTTCAAAATACTCCGTCTGTTCTAGCGACTCTTCAAAGTGTTGCCCCCTTTTCTTACGATGCGAAGGTGGTTGCCAAGGACGAATTACCACCCCTAGGCTATAGCTTACAAAGATGCTCACTACATCGTTTAGCCGCGTTTCACGGGGAACGAGACAGAAATATCCGTGTTTGGTCATTGCGAAGCGGAAGCTGACGGGCGCCCCTGAAGCTTCTATAGAGTATTCCAAAATTGGCATGTTGTCCCGCGTTCGAGTTGGATCTTTCAACCATGCTATCCACGGCTCCCAATTATTATGAATATATTCGGAATGTACTATTTCCTGCGTATCGTTGTAGGATAATATCAACGTGAGTTTGTAGGCGTCCATGTGATTGTCACCGTTGATATACGTCTGCGCCGTGAGTTCCGCGATATGATCGAGGTCTTTTCCGAAGATCTCTAGCATCCCTTCAACATCAAAAGGGTCATCAAGAGGATCAGCTACATATATAATTTCATCACATATGAGGCACTTAATGTTCGCGTAGCTCTGGAGCAGTGCCTTTCGAGGATCGTTAAAGTTCTTCAACTCGTCTGGTAGATCTAACCATCTTCGATGACGCCTAGGAAGATTCTGTACACTCCCAGCTGCTCTTAAATCACCACAAGCAAAGGTAAACTTCGGACCACCCGCCATCCAACTCGGATGTTCAACAATCGTCTCACTGCCCCAATGAGTATCATTCGTAAGGTCTAAGGCCCACGAGGGCACCAGACTGTCCCTTGATTCACGTCGAGGCTTTCCCGCGCTTCTTATGAATTGAAGAATGCCGTTCTGGAGAAATTTCCGAGAAACATCGGCGTATAGTATCTGCCATGGTATTTTATAGTCGACCTGAAACCACGTACTGGCATCTTGAGCGATGTATTGAAGTGCATACAATTTGTCGCGTGGATCCGTGGCACCCAGTCTGTTGGTATAATTCAAGAAGGTAGCCAGAGACCAATGCGATTTGTTGGAGCCCCCATTCAGATCTTGGAGTAATCGTTTTCTTCGACGCTGAATATGTTGTATTGCGAGGATACTATTAAGCATTCGATTTAGGTCATCTGATATATAGTCGGGGTATAGTCCGATGTTTTTCGGTAATATCATCTATGCTAGTGAGAAAATGTTGTCCCAGTCAACTTCTCGCTTGCCGCATATAACTTGAGTCTGGGCACAAAGAGACGCTTCTTGTTGAACCCAAACACGAGTAAACCACGGCCGGTTGATGAACCTAACCAAAGCAACCCCGAGGGTTCGGTGTTGGTTTGACTCGGTTCCCTCATTCGGTTCGAAGAAATAGGATTTCTCTTCTATTCCCCAGCCTGGTGTAGACATCTCTCTAATTTCCCCGGCCAATTTTGATATGTCTAGTCCCTCGGCGTAGGCCATAGCCATGGCGCTGTATTCATCCGGGTTGCCAAGCCATATCAGGACTTTCCTCGCCTGTTGATATATATCATGCATAAAAGAAACCTGAAGCGCCCGCTCCTCTATATCAGATTGATTGATACAGATAGCATCAATCCAAACAATCCTAGGTTTATCTAAGAACCTCAAGTCCTGTAGCATGTCGAATGCATTCCTTTGGATTTGAATGTTAAAATTATTGCAATGTAGAGCGCAGGGATTTGCTGGCGAGCCCCATGTGTAGCTGGTGGCTTCATACGCCCCGCTAGCTTTTTCGATGGTCGTGGAGACGAGCTCGGCGTAAAGCGGCTCGCCAGGTTTGTCAGGGTAGAGATGAAGCAAGCGAATCGGGTTTTCCCCACTAAGTGTTTGGTATAATAGGGGTGCGATTTGTGCATTCCACGTATCCATTATTTAGGTACGTAATGGACGAGTTCGAGGTACAGCCCTTGAAAGCCCTTGGAATCAGGGGCGGTGGGGCGTACTCGTGGATATGATGGATCTCATTTTAAGAAACTCCGAGCCGTGGGGTCGCCTAACCAAATCCTTCCGACGATGATTTGGGGGCTGTCGATCCCGCTGAATACTACGTTATGTGCCCAACTAAAGATACATCGGTACCCAGTCGTACCCGACGTTATGTATTTTACTTGGCAGGCTGGACATCTGGACATTTGTTGTAGAATTAGTCAGTATGAGCGGTCGAGGCAGACGCAGAGAGCAAGTCACCGCAGCAAACCGAGGCCAAATCCCTAAGATCTATGGAGCATATGTATTGTGTTGTGTTTATTGCGTTTACATCTCCCTGAGCTTCTATCTTCGGTTCATTCGTTTCTCTCTGCAAAACCCCGTTCAACCATAAGTACTATTGTGCTTACCTCATTACTGGCTGGCTCGAGATTTACTTCGTATTCTTGGGTATAGGTTTTCTTCTATTCCGTTATTTTGTGGCAATGTTCTCAACACCACTAATAACGGGTCACATTTCATTCGGCTACGCAACATGCTTCCGTCTGTCTTGGGTCAAAACATGAATGAAATGCGTTGTGGCGTAGGTTGTACACCGGCAAAGGATTCACAATCAGATTTGTATGTGTACATCCATACAATCGGACAATAAAGGGGAAATACGTAGGGACGGACGGGTAATAATGGGGATACTTGCATAAAGCAACTAACTTAAAATGGGTACATACCCCTATTGATGTACGTGCTAATGCCCCGTCTTGCATCGAGTGTGCTTGCCTTCAATATTGTAGATAGGGTTTGTCGATACCTAGGTACATATGTGTACATGTCCATGTACATAAGACCTCTGCCTCCTGCCCCCACCCCCACCAAAGTAACCAACCAAGGTTAACAGGGATATCCCACTGCAGGACCCGAATGACCCCTAGCTTCTCCAGGATGCATGCAAGTAATAAACCTTCAACCAACGCGTAGCTGACTCAAAGCGAATTACAAGTTGAATTTAATATCAACAACAAACGCCATGAATTACCCAGCCTCTTACAAAACTTGGTCATTATTTTCTATCATTTTTATTTTTTCTTATTCCCAACGTTTCAATATCAAGTATGAATAGACAACTCATAACCCTTATCCTAATTAGTTCAGTCGACTCAGATGACGCCACCTTTGCAACGAATATCATAGGCAATGAAATGGGTGACAACTCAGACGTCGGGAGGCAGGTTGCTTTCAATCCCGTTTGCTTCGCTTCTCTTTCCTTTGCCTTGAACAATTGAAAATTAATCAATATTATAGTCAATACGCGTATGGCTGTCGAATATAATTTCAAACCCCTCGAATTGATGTTTGTCTGCCAAGGTTGCCTGTAGTTGCCTAAGAAATAGGAAATATGATTGGTTTGGTAGCAACGGGTACCATGGATGGCAACGCCAACAAGAGTCAAATTTCCTTTCCTTACCTTGGAGGTGCACAATGTAAACCCCATTTTTCACCAAGTAGTTACTATAGCATACAACCTGCACTGATTCATCCATATTCACTCAATCAACACCCATAGGATCCTTTGTACCACCGCGTTCGATATGGATCTCCTTCAATCGGTATTCAACCACCTAGTGCTGCCTCCCAAAGTACCGGGGAGCCAAGATTCTGACATTGAATCCATATCACGCGACGTGCTGATGCGCATGATCCGCACCTGCAAATCTATGGGTTCCATTGTCGATTCGCCTTGGCTAGAAGCATTCCAATCACTTCAGGCTTCAATGGAAACCTGTCTTGCGCTCCACTTGGGCCGCCTGGAGGTGTCAACATTGCGTCGCCATCTGCGCAATCTCGAATCGGACCACATCTTGATTTTACATGTCGTGGAGCAGAATTCCGCCTTGCTCATCCATCGCGAGACCTGGTTAGTATCTAATTTACAATTCCCTCAAAATGTAGTCCTCTTCTTACTAGTGGGATTAGCGATGATGAAGACCGTGTCGTCTTCGAAGCGTTTGAGACGTCAGCCCCCTCGGAACGGGTTCTTGCGGCAGGTCATGCCTTGCAATGGGATTTCCCCGGTCGTTGCGCCCAGATTCCATTCGCTAAATTCATTGATGAGCCGTTTCAAGAGTGTCTGTCTGCTTTTCTTGAACAGGCTAGCATGGAGTCGATATATAGTCTTCAAGCTGCTGCACGAAAAGCTTCTATTTCCGTTACCGAGGTTAGAGATACCACTGACCCGGCGCTGATCACCCAGATGCTTATGCCTCTTCTCGAGGCCAACGGTAGTCATTTTCAACCACCCGTGCTTCGAAAGAAAGTAAGAGATGAAGTCAACATACGGAGTGCGGACTTGCCCTGGCGCCGGCTCCCGTTTTGGCTCGTTTTACGCGTCGCAGCGCAGCGTCAGCTCTGCCAAACGCTCGGAAACGAACAAGGTCGAATAGGTTACAAGGTTCTCATATGCCTCTTGCTATCTGAGCTGTTACGGGAATCTACAGGGAAACTGGGTCCGGATCAAGTCATTACCCTCCGAGCCAAGCTATGCCGCCGCATGGCCAAGTTAGAGATGGACAGAACAATGGTCCAGCAGATCCAACCCAACGTATATACGTCCTTATTCGACCAAATCTGCCCTAGAATCGAGACGATCATCCGAGAGGCGACAACACAACTTGAGACAGCATGGGAATACTACAAGCAGTCAACAATCCGCCGCATCCCAAGGCTCCCCTTCCGTGCACCTGATGCTTCGCTCCAACTTACCCTTCCGAACAGTAGCGGGTACCTCGACCGCTTACTACGTAATCCCGCACCCCGACCAAGCGGAATATCTTCTCTTGACCTTCCCCAGCCGCTTGATGGGGCTATTCAAAGGGCCCAAGACTTTACAGATGCTATATTTCGGCTTAACGTGGTAGAAGAAGGAATATTTCGCGACGAACAACTTCATCAGCGCAGCCCGTGTGGTGGCGATAAGAATCGCTGCATCGAGCTTGCCGAGCAAATCGACGAAGTCTTTACGAGTGTTGGTCCAAAATATGACTCGGATCCTGAGCAGATGAGCACTATGATCCTCGGCTTATTTAGTGTATGGATCCGTCTCGACGAATGTGCTATTCACCTATGCCCTCTGCTCAACGATTATCGCCCTGCTTTCAGCCCCGAGCTCCTCAACGTCCTCCAAATACCTACCATGTCCGACATGAGTCGCCTCCGAGACATTCAAAGATATCTATCACAACGTCATTCCAAATGCAAGTACGGTACTATCTTCGACGAGCTTGGCAAGAACTGTCTGGCTTCGCATTATGTTTCTCAGTCGAATAAGTTGAAGTCGTTGGGCTCCCAGATTTAGACAGCATCTAATCACGCTCGCGATGAAAAGGAGTCAGAATGGAGAAAGATCTCCGAAGAATACGACGACCACACGACAGGAATTTCGGACAAAATTTGTTGCTGTTCTTGGAGCAACGGCGAGCGTGACGTGCGTGGGTGTACGAAGTGTTGGCACTGGCGCGTTCGAAACCGCTTACAGATTCAAGCACATGAAGCGTTTCTCCCTGACAGCAATCCTGCCAGGGATGTCTTGTTATTTGAGCTCGCGATCCCCAACTACATTTCTGCGTATCGAGACGCTACTTGGCGGATACTGACCTTGGCACATCCAAGTCGAGTCACCGTATCGTCTCCCCCCAAGATTAAATTGACAGACTGCCTACCCCTCAAGCCCTTTATGACCGCTAAGGTGTATAGAATCTCGTTAGCCTCAAGTGTTAAATGCTTCAGCCAGACTCACTACAGATATCATTCAGGAAAGATCCCGCTGTCTCGTGTACTGCTACCTCTTGCGGCAGATTTTCAATTGTACGACCATGCTTCGGGATCCTGGGTTGAAGATTTAAGCATGCCCCTTACCTTTCAACATATCTGTGGAGTCTATGTCCCCCGTGGCCTCCGTACTACGGTCCTGCCACCCATACAGCACCCTCCCACTACTGTCAACGGACCAACATCCTATGAGGTACAGGCTAATCAGAATGAATGCCCATCTCATATGTCTGTACATGAATTCTCGGCATATCAAAAGTTACTTGCCGGCCAGGCCCGGCGCTGGCCCAACATCATGGTTGAGTTGGGCTCCTCAAACTTGAATTTTAATAATGAGGATACTGCGCGATTATTATGCCAACTTTCAGTCCAGGCCGGCCCTTCGCTCGGCGGCGAGGTTTTACGGACAGTTCATGTTATTTTCCGGGAACCGGCTTTCGTCGCGCGCTTGACTGAAACTCTCGACACGCGCATGCGCAGCATACAAGCAAACTGGCGGGAAGCCCATTCCATGGAAGTGCTCATCACGATTACCTTGCGATTATTTTATCTTACCTCAGGTAATTCACGCACCCATGCTAAGCGCTTGCTAGAGAGTGCAAGAAATGCTACGTTAGACTGGACAACTCGCCTCCGCAAAGAGCTCCGCACTGCCACCGATGCAGATGTGGCGCAACGGTTAGCACTATACGGCTTCTGTGCCGCTTTGTTATGTCGGAGAACGTTTGCAACACATGCGGAGTTCAAGCAGGCCCTAGATGGCGAAGACCTCGCCGCTTGGGTTGGGGCCTCCATAGCACTACAAGAAAATTTGGTAGTGGATCTTGGCAAGCTACCTCAGCATGTCAGGGGCATGCTTCTTCGTGATACCAAACAGGCGTATCACCTTCAACCTCTTCTAGAAAGCGCCGTGAAATCCCATCCAAATAGCATCGGGGATGGAATTTTTAGGAGTTGGTCCGATAATGTAGACGGCGCAACGATGGCCTTCTCTTTGTGGAACGTTCTTCCTCCACCTCACGACCGTTGGATTGTCGCCCAGATGTCAGAGTGCCGAAAGGCATTTCGCGCGCCCCAAACAATACATTACAACATCGTGGAGGGCCATCTGCTAATCAATGGTAAGCCCCGTGGGAAACTACCTACCGACATTCGAGATAGTTCTGCAGTCAAGGAGATGTTTGGGAACCAGCATCTCCTAACGTTCCCTTCGTCTTTATGGGGTATGAGCCACCAGCTTTCACATCGCATACATAAGCAAGAAGTGCACTTTGGCATGCGTGACGGGCAAGTCATCATCCGTACTATAAACAGAGACAATCATGTGATTGAGTTCATACCCCGTCACGTTTTCATCAGTCCAGACACTTTTGACTTGCCAGCGGAACTGAGAGATGGATGTACGCACTGGCTGAACTTTAGCACGAAGTGTCTTGAGATTCGCCGAGCGCCGGTAATCTGGGTCAAGCGAGCGGGAGATTGGGAAGTAAATGTCCCATGGCGTAGAGCTTCCCGTAGGAATGTTGATCTTGTTGATCCACAATCAGACGTATTCGGCCAAGTGGCAAAAATATTGCAGCATTTCGAGCGACCGGAGAAATTGACAGTTTACCAACCTAGGGGAAATTTGTCGGTGGAACTGCGACACATGGAATTGTCGTTCTGTGTGAATCGTGCTGGCCTTCTCCAATGTAGAGAGCTCAACGCAGAGATTGACATCGATCAGGATGCGGGAACATGGTATGGCCTCGATAGCAAAGTCGTTCTGCGAGATATTATCTCTCGGGAACGTAGCATTATTGTGCCGCTTGGAGAGCCTCAATATTTCCGACGGGGTATGCATGTTGCTGTGCGTACGAAAAGCTCTCATGAGTACGGCAAGTATAAGGTCGACAACATCCTAGGCCGATTATCTTGCGCCCCTGAGCGTCGTCTTCTATACACAAAAGCCATCTACCATGCCCTTACGTCTTTTCCCCTTCCTGACACATTAACGGGACGTACCGGCACGGAAGAAGCATTCGATATCCTCCGTTCCGGAGCTGCTCAACCATGGATCCCGCTAAACGATATTCCGTATCATATTTTGGGAATGTTAGGAGGACTTGCTCCCAACAGACAGTACTATCCGGCGAAACTTAAACGCTTCCAGAGCGTGACATGGGATGAAAACCTAACCATCACCATTCAACATGATGGTTACACGTCTCTTGTTCAAAATATCCTCACGAAATCTAACCGGTTAAGCAATTTCGCCAACGAGGATACAAAAAGCTTTGAATTTGAGGAGGTCACACATCTCCGCCACCGCGGCGAGCTGCAACGACGTGTATATGAGCGCCTAACTGCAAACACGGGCATGCAGGCTGTACCGGATATGGCTTATCAGTCTCGCGATCGTAGAACATCATCCAAAGCTACCCGCGTATACGAAGTCGTTCGCCTCCTTGTGACAGGCTGCTCCTCTCTGAAACTGGAGACTACGGTCGAATCCTTTCTTGAATCTCACGAGGTTATCGGCGGATTCTGCGATGAGCCTAGCTCGCTCTATAACCGGGAACCGCTGATAAGCCAAATTGAAGACCCTATCAATGAAAAATGGGGAAGTCTCGTTCAGCTGTGCCGATATGCGGACCATATCACGCCGTTATTCTTTCGGCTTGGACTACTAGCCTTCCGTCCTAACCCGGATATGGACACGATCCGTTCGCTCGTCGCCTTCTCGGTGCTGAAGGGGCTTAAAACCCTGTCGCCACCTCTATATAGTGGTTTCATGGACTTTAAAACACGCGGACGGCCCCCGGTTGAACTTCTATGCGCACTGGTAGCCCCATCTTACAGGGACTTTGAGCCCAAGTTGCGTCGTGGGCGCGAGCTGAAAGATCAATACGGGCATAGCAGTCGACAACATCAGGCCCTATGTGAAAAAGAGAATCAGGAATTTGCCTCTCATGTTCTTGGGCAATGGCCCGTTCCAGCCGACGAGTTGTCTTTTGACGCTTTACACATAGGGATCCTCGATATTTCCCTAGCGCTGGAGAAAATACGCCCTGAATGGGAACGCAGGCGTAAGAATGGCGAACTAGAGACTTATGCTAATAAAGTACAAACGGTTCTTCATTCACATAGGGGCACTCAGAATGCATCTGCCTTGTGGAAGTGGACAAATGCGGAACCTTTGTTCACGAAACCCAAACACCTCGAAGCCTCCCAAACCACAGCCGGGGATGTTCTAATGAAGGTCGGCCCACGACTCGAATCCCTAATGCCGAACATCTCGTTCAATGTTGGGGATGTGGCTAAGGACCGTGTGACTGAACCAGTACAGGCGAGCCATACAAGCGAAACTACGCAATTAAGAAACATTTTAAACAAGTTCGCGACGTCTAAGACATTGAGGCGCCAACAGTATGCAAGCTATCTCCTTCAGAGCCTGGCTGTCTTCGGGGTGGCTGAGCTATCGAATACGGATGGCTCGATGCCGTCCCTTGAAGAAGTTGATGACGCTAGAGATTCGGGTTATAGAATAGCGGGACGCTATTTCGAGGAAATCTCGTCAGCTCTCACGTCTGGAGACCATGGGTCTAAATGGCTGCGGCTAGGTGCCCTCTGGCCATTCGTGTCTCCCCTCGAGGTACTTGTCCTCCTCAGGACTTCGTCAACTTATCGATACGGGGCCGGAATGAAGGAGGCGTTGGTGCAGTACGGATTAGCGGTCACATGCCTACAGCGCTTAGAGCGGATCCGACATGCCTTGCTCCGGAGGGATAACCGGGTACTTCGCGAGGAATTGCGAAACTCCGGCCATGAAAATTGGTCACCAGTGCAACAGCCTGACTGGCTATTACTGGAAGTCGATGGCAATTTCCTCATACGAACCGAGCAGGTAGATGTCGCACGAGCCATGATTGCACCGTCATCAGGTCAGAATAGCGTACTCCAGATGAATATGGGTAAAGGTAAGTGTTCCATCCCATATCACAAGCAAAATATACCCACTCGTGAATTTATACTCACTTTTTCTTCGTAGGCAAGACATCTTGCATTGTCCCTATGGCAATATGTGTTTTAGCCGACGGTCAAGATCTCGTGCGGTTGGTTGTACCCAAAGCACTACTTATGCAGACAGCACAGATGACGCAGTCACGTTTGGGGGGGCTTGTCGGACGTGAGGTCTTCCACGTCCCTTTCTCGCGAAAGACAAGATCTACAAGCAATATGCTGGAGTTATATGCACAGATTCACAGGGAAGCGCGCAGTCGCAGAGGCCTTATCCTCACCAGCTACGAGCACGTCCTCTTCTTCAAGCTTGGCGGTTGGCAACACCTCGCGGATGGAAAAATCGAGGCGGCGAAAACCATGACAAACTTTCAACGTTGGCTAGATGACCATTGTCGCGATATTCTAGACGAATGTGACTTTACGTTAGCGGTAAAGACACAACTCAATTATCCCAGTGGACCAGAGATGGCTGTTGACGGATATCCTTTCCGATGGCAAGTAGCCGAGGAATTGCTGGCCTTGGTGGCCCACCTAGTTCCAGAATTACGAAAGAAATTCTCTGTTGGCATCGAGGTGTTAGAGCGCCCAGGGTCATATCCAATTGTACATCTGCTCAATAGTGATGTGGAGGAGGCTGTCCATAATCACATCCTAGACAGCATCTGCAATGGGCGGACAAGCTTCCTTCGTCCCGCGGATTCGAGCTTCCCGCGCCAACAGGACAATATACGGCACATTCTCTCCGCCAAGGAGTTTGATGAACAGAAATTCGCAGAAGCGACGAATGCATTTGCTAACTCGCAGGTGGCGTCCAAGATACTCCTCCTGGTTAGAGGGTTATTGCTCAACCGCATCCTACTCCTTTGTTTGAATAAACGCTGGAATGTGCAATACGGGCTACACCCGAACCGCCACCCTGTAGCGGTACCCTTTGAAGCAAAGGGCACGCCGTCGGAGCAATCTGAGTTTGGTCATCCAGACGTTGCTATCTTATTTACCTGTTTGGCTTTTTACTATACCGGCCTTAATTTGAAGCAATTTAGCCAAGGAATTCAGCATGTGCTCCAGTCAGATGACCCAGCCGCGCAGTATGATATGTGGATATCCAGCTGCTCTAGCCTACCGGAGTCACTGCGACAGTGGAATGTCATCAATATCGAAGATGCGGGACAAATGGAAGAATTGTGCCGACACTTGCGTTTGAATTGTAACGTCATAAACCACTACCTCAACCATTTTGTTTTCCCAATCCATGCTAAGCAATTCGAAATTAAATTACAAGCTTCAGCGTGGGATCTACCTTTTTACTCGAAGGGACAACAACGTGGTGCAAGGACCACTGGTTTTAGCGGGACAAACGACAACCGTGCGATGCTACCCCTAACCATCCGGCAGGACGACCTCCCCAGCCTACAACAAACTAGCGCCGAGGTACTGTCGTATCTTCTACAACCACGCAACCGCAGCTATCAGATGACTGTAGATTCTACGGGTAAGCGGTTAGCCGAAGATGGCCTTCTACAATACTTACGGGACAACAACATCCGCGTACTCATAGATGCCGGGGCGTATATTCTTGAGATGGATAACGCAATGCTTGCGCGAGAATGGATGAAAATCGACCACGAAGCAAAGGCTGCTGTCTATTTCGGTAGCGATAATCGTGCCTGGGTACATTACCGGGGCGAAAAGAAGGAAGTTCCCCTCCTCGCTACTCCTTTTGCGGACGATTTAAACGAATGCCTCGTATACCTCGACGAGGCGCATACACGAGGTGTAGACCTTAAACTACCTATGGGCGCCCATGGTGCACTGACATTAGCTCTAAAGCAAACTAAAGACTTCACAATGCAAGGTACGCCTCATACTTCGACAGCTTTTCTATTCGATATTTTCTCTTAATGTTATGCTGGGGCCTAGCGGGTGCAAGGTTAGGCAAAGTTGATATTGCTAACCAATTCAACAGCGGCGATGCGTCTCCGTCAGTTGGGAACAACCCAGTCTCTAACTTTCTTCGCGCCCCCCGAAGTCGATCGAAGCATCCGAGATTTCTGTCGTCCGCCCCCAAACACACCAATAGACTCATCTCACGTTGTTTCGTGGCTTCTAGAGCAAACCTGCTGCGTCAATGAGGACCTGCAAAGTCTATATGTAGCGCAGGGTATCGATTTTTGCAGAAGAGCCGACGCAATATATCGGTATCCTAATTTCCTCGCCAGTACGAAGATTCGCGCCAAATTACTTGATGTACTCCAGCAGCCAGAACGGCAGACCTTAGAGCAGCTCTATGGCGGGGATTCAACAACATTTCGGACAGGCCCCATGGACAACTTGTCTGCACCTCAGCTCCAGTTATTCGTGAATCAGCTGAAGCTTCATGGTGGTGAGGCAGGTATTGTTCGAATGGGTGCCTTGGAAGAAGTCGAACAGGAGCGTGAAGTCCAAGTTCAGGTTGAGCAAGTACGCCAAGTTCAGAAGCCGACAAAATATGTAGCCCTTCCTTTCCCAGGGCTTCATCCTATCATATCGCAATTTGCAGTTACGGGGGTATTACCCCGTGCACCATCTACTCGAGAAGAGGCCGGGTTCGAGCACATGTTCACGTACATGGCGAGGACAACCGTTGGGAGACGGTTCGGCATACGCGGTACAGGCTCGAGGTTATTTGTTTCTACCGAGTTCGGGAGGACAATTAGGCACGGGAAAGACAATGCGAGCGACTCCGACAACTCTTTGGTAAGTGATTAGACGTCTTTTATTTTCAAACTCACGACGACTAACAGTAGTCACAAAATAGCGACCAGTAGAATGGATCTTGTGGAGCCCCTCAACCCAGACTGCACTGGTTATTATACCTGAGGAAGCCGAGTTATTAATCCCAAAACTTCGCCTTGCCACACTTCGGCCGCGTGTCTACCTAATCGCCTACGCAGCGCCAGTTACGAAAGCAATGCTCTGCTTCAACACGCTTAGGTACTACAGCTTACCTACATTACCACCTAGACATGAGTTTCCTGAGTGGTTCAGGTTCGAACTAGGTGTACTCGGCGGTCGGCTATACGTGGACTCAGCAGAGTGGGATTTACTAGCTCGACACTTACAGTCACCATCCAAGGAAAACGCAATATCACAATTTGCATCAGCGAACGGGATAATACCCATCTCTTTTGCAGATAATCCTACTTCGTTTCTCCTAGAGTGGCTAATGCTCCTCCGCAGAACGCAGGATGTTATACAAACGCCTATGGGCTATATCTGTACAGGTCGCACGCTCAGAGAAGACCACCCCTTCCGTGAATCTTCATAAGGACATCTGATCCCGAATGTCAATTTCCACCATTGGTATTGTCATATGTAAGGAGAAGCTTAATCGCAGCTCTGTTACCTTCCAAAAGTTGTATATAGCTTTTGATGAGGGATGAACTTCTTTCAATAGGTAGTGAAAAAAAGAAAATTTAACTATTCCATAGCCATGTGGTAGTTCGTCGCGTATGTTCCCTAGAGTTGCATATTCATTCAATACTGGTTGCTGTAGACCCTATAACGCAGCCTTACATGTCCTCTATTATTGATCGCTACTTAGGTAGAGACGAAATAAAAAGATCATAGGCGGTGACAGATAGCCCCTTATATCTTAGGACGATAGCAAGGGTTGTCTATAGTCACCGAGGACCAGATTGCGTATGTCAGTAGTCGAGCTGTATGAAGCGATACATCTTGGGAAGTATCGGTAGAGCCCCTTATCGCCGATACAAGGACAAAGGAGCTCATGGAACAAAGAGGCTACTTGTGTATGTATACGATAGTTCCCGTAGTAGATACCTGCGATCTCTTCGCGCAACAACAGAGTTGTTAACCCCCCATATGGTTGGTCTCATGACAGCGTACGCATATAACCTCCATTGCGTATGCTGGTAGAACATATTACTTCCTTCAACGTCTCAATGCCAATATAAACTAACAACTTAGCTGTACGGAGCTCTTTATTGCGGATCTATATCTCGTGCGAGCTTATCGAGCCTTGCCATAAAAGCCCGACTTATTTGAGTATCTTCGGATGAGGACATAAACATATTGTTACAATCACTCCAAGTTATATTCAGATAACTTTGGATATCTATACCAGCCGGTCCCAAGCCCTTTATGTGATTACACCCTTATGATCTTGCGTCATAACCCCCCTAATAGCTAAGTTGAAACATAACTACCTATACTCAACCCAACTCCCGACCTACAATGGTAAAGCATAAACTCCTTTATATATAGTCTATAAATACGTGGGTATGGTGCCACCACAACAAAGACAATGTGATCACATGATACCCCTCGACGTTACCTACTAACCCAGTCCTGACTTAATTCCCTCCGAAACTTATAGTGGAAATAGGGGCATCTATACCCTAATATAAATATCAACGCCTTGTGTTCCCGGCCCAGATCAAACGATATAATAACCCATCCTATCCGGTTACTTAATACTAGACTAGCCTGTCACTTAAACAAAAGTAAAAACCACACAAAAAACCAATTATCGCTTAAAATGCATTAATATACGCTTTTAAAGCCTAATGTGATGTTACCAAACTCTAACCTATCTATCCTCGTGTGTGCGATAGGGGCCCTTTACGGCGATGAGGGCGTCTTCCCGATACTTCCCATGATGTACCGCTTCGTACAACTAAACTACTGACACTACTGACATCCTCCCTCGCGGTCAGGTTAATTATTAGAGATGCAAATTCTGATGGGTCGCCTACTCTCTTGTGTAGTTCTCTTCTATATATAACCAAAGCTTGACGAAGGCGAAGGTAGTCATAGTCAGGCTCTACTTTAACCTGAGCTTGACATCGTCTCGGCTTAGATAATTAATAAAATTTGATTCTCTAGGTTGCCTTGATTATCAACTAGAGTTAGGTATTCTTTTATTTTAAACACTTACATAGTTTATAAGCGTCTATAACATTATAGCTTTTAAGTTTAATTTATATAAAATTTGTTTTAATTCTTTAACACATCGTTAAATAAAGGTTTAGTAGAAAACAATCCCTTTATGTTAAAAAAAAAAAAAGAAATCGTTTACTATATATCAACTTAATCTTTATTAATTAATTCAACTTATTAAGTATTTTTAAATATTTAAACACGGAAATACCTAGGTATCTTCAAGGTTCTATTCCTATATCTAATATCAACTATATTCCGTAAATAGAAATTATACCAGAAAACTTTCAGGTTATATCGTAAATAACACAACTTATACATCATGGCTTCCCCAACTAGTTTGGAAACTGCTGTTATACAGCTAAAGCATCCAGATGGCACAGAAAATTCAATGCTCCTAGCTCATGCTATTCCGGAAGAACGGCGCAATTTCAATCGGCTAGTCATTGACTGTAGCTACAAGCGGTTTCGAGAACAACTCTCCAAACGATGCAACGTATCCCCAGAAATGTCTCTCGTAGTTACAGCTACGGGCGCCGAACTCAATGATGAAGATGCCTTTCATATGTATCTGAATGAGGTGGTAATAAGTCTACCTCAAGTAGCTGGGCATAAAGGCCCCCTTTGTTTATACCTAGATGTCACGCGCAAGAGAAGACACTCATCGGATCCACCTGATTCGCCTTCGCAAGGTACAGAAGGCAGTGTCTCTAAAAAGAAACGAGTCAATACGCCTCTACCGTCTAAAAGCCCCGTAGAAGAAGAGGAAATCGAAAGCGGGGAAGACGAAAGCGAATATGAAGACGGAGGCGAGCCCACTGAGGACCTCCGACCCCTACCATACTTTGAAGAGGATGATATTATGACTGACGATGGTAGGCAGACAGACGATGGCGACAGAGAGTCAGATGATGATGACTTTGTCCAGCAAGCCCGTCAAAATATTGACGATGACGTTTGGAAAAGGGTTTGTACCTTCTTCCAATGTCACTCCAAAGTTTCATCTCTCCAACTTCCTGGTCTTCGGCTCCCTTTGCAGCCTTACCAACTACACGGAGTTTGGTTCGCTCTTTCAAGGTGCCTCGATAACATTTTCTCCGCTATTATAGCGGATGACGTGGGCCTCGGGAAGACAGCAATGGCGCTGGCCGTCATGCTGCTGCACCACCAGATCCAAATGGCCTGGGCTGAGGTTGAGGCCGATCGTGATTCCCATTTACCGCAGGGAGCACAGGCAGCCGATAGCGTCTGCCCTGGGCAAAAATCATTCCGATTTGGTTTCCAGTGCCCCTGTGTGGAGAGGAGCGACACGTTTCGCATTTCACAACGGTTGGCGGCTCTCCCTATTATCGTCGTAGCCCCTCCAAATCTTCTTAATCAATGGGTGCGCGAGGTAGGAAAATGGATGGATTTCAGTACTCAGACCCGTCCCATTAATAATATGGAGTTTAAAATTTTACACTCCCAAGTATCTGCTGGATTAGGGGGGTACACGAACGTATCTGCTTTTACTTCGGACATGTACGACTTGATCAAACCCACACAACTCCTATGTACCGAAAATTGTCGGACCGAGGGAGGATGGGGCCCTCCTGTAGGGACGCCAAGCGAGGATTTATTGTCAAAATATGTTACGCTTATCGCTCCTAAAGGCTTTCAACCCCTTTACAAAGGGTACGCTGCCTATGACACTAATTTAGTAGCCAGCATAGTTTTCATGGACGAGGTCCATTCATACAAAGGATCGAAAGAAAACCCTCATGGGGCTTTCAAAGCTCTCAGATCGATGGCTAAGGATTCGCTATGTCCTACGCTCGCGGTAGGTCTATCCGCCTCTATGTTGGGGAGCGGACCAAAGAACTGGCGACCGTTTGCCAGCCACCTGTTGCAAGTTGCCGATTCCCGAGGGTTGAAGCCAAACGTACCACATCTTAGCAGTGTAAAGGATGTAGATTCTTGGATCAGAGATTACGACTACATCATCAAGAACAGTAATTCGAGCAAAGCTAGATCCAGGGAGTACGCGATCGAAAGGTTAGACGCATTACGACCGATTTTGGAAGCGTTCATACCCCGCGTGGTGCTCTGTCGCCTGAGAGGAGACAAATTTCGCGGTAAATCCATCTCCGACAGCGGTCGCACGCCCGTAACGAAGGTTTACCTCGATACACTGGAGTCAAGCAATGCTCACAAGGGGCTGCGCGAGTTAAGTACAAGAATTCGAACGTGGATAGACGAGATATACGACCTAGAAATGGAGAATTGGGAGAAGACTAATAAGCTGGGTAACGCGCCCGATAGAGACGAAACTCAACGCAATTTATTAAATAAAGCCTTCCCTCAGGGGGATCGGTCTACAGAAGAATACAATATCATGAAATGGTCGTCGACCTTTCCTTACATTTCGGTCCTGTATCTTACAGGTAATATCTCACAATCAGATTGCACTGCTAAAGAGTGCCTTCATGTTTCTCGACAAATAACTTCATACCTCCACGGACAACGACGCAATCAATTGTCCGACGCCCAGGTTAGCGAGCGAATTCTACAAGAGTTGCAACAATCTCCCTTTTGGCGGTATAGACGCTTGTTAAAGGATTATTCCCCCAAGTTCCAAAGGATCACGAACTATGTACGGCAACTTCTTGCTGTGCGGGAACATGGCGCGTACTCGGCTGAGATCGCGCACGACTTTAAAGCATTGGGCCAAGGACCACCAGACGACAGCGGCGTCCGACATATGCTACTATTTAGCGAGTACCCTATCTCAAGTTTCCTAACATTCATGCTCTTATTCGACGAATTTGGTATGGATGGGATCGAATGGCTATACATGCATGGCGGTACCAATATGAACCATAAGACAATCATGATACGGGATATTCAAGAAAACGTCGAAAAGGGTGGCAAGATGAAGATTTTGACCACTACTTGCGGCTTAATGGGGACGGGCCTTGAAATGCAGCGAGCTAACTATGCTGTCCTCACCGAAGCACCAAGTAAACCAGAGTATCGACAACAAGTGATAGGGCGGGTTGACCGGCAGGGACAGACACAAGAGCTCAATTTGATTCAACTCTTAGACAAGAGGAACCTGGCGGAAATGGCTGCCTACAAACGAGGCTTGGATCAAGCAGAACTCGCCAAGGAAGGATTCATTACCAACGATATAAATTTCGACGATTTTATCGGCAATGGCGAAACTACAATCGATGAAGAGGAGGTAGAACGCCTTCAACAGTAAAAATAACAAAAGCATCGTTCGTAGAAAACTATTCGTAGGAGTTTGAGATTGTGTATAATATATATAACATATATTGTAAAAATAACTGTAGCTGTAAATATATACCCAGATACTCTATATGCCTAAGAAGAGCAACGTGGCTTTCAGAAAACTCGCGCTTTCATGATATTAATGGATTCATTAATTGTAAGACGACCCCTTTTCTATATAGACTTTGATAGATGATTTGAATCTTACGGTAAAATTTGTTCTGGCTGATGTCTTGGACTTAGAGTACGCATCTGTGATTAACCGTTGAATATGACAAAGCTGATAAAGCTATGGAGACTCAACTATCTAAGTACATAAGGTAGTATTCACATACGAGTTCAAGTTCGACTCTAGAGACCTAGGTACATACAATTCCTTCCTAGTACTGGATAACGTGCGCTACATGCTCGTGGTTTCTCCTATAGATGCTCTGCAGTAACCTCCCTACAGATCTGGAAGATACTGCCGATCTCTTCAGGAGGTGTCCGGCCTAAGCCGCATTCCGTTGCTATGCCGAAGGGGAATTGGACGGTAGCCTGTGCAGTTTCGATTCGTTTCTTCGTCCCAGCCTCATCATTAGCATGCACTACACCGAGATATATGTAAGGAGGTTTCGAGCCGGAGTCATCGAGCTTAAGACCTGCCAAAGGCAAGAAGTAATCGGGATCTGTTCGCTCTTTCGGTACTGGTAAGTGAATCCACTCAGTTCGCGACCCTAGGGTCTCATGGGCGAGCAGGGCATTAGCGAACTTGACCAAGAGCGATGTATCTTGGGGTTCGACAAAATGCTTGTGCCAGAGATCGCCGTAACAGAGATGGAAAGCAATTTTGATGTCTTTGGGGATCCGCTCAGATAGTCGTACCACGCGGTCTACGAGACCCTGTAGCACACCTCCGGGCGATGAAAAATAGGCTTGATGCCGCGCATCAAGAGGGCGCCCATGGTCGAGTTCAAGCGCCGTCATCTCGAAACACAAGTCCCATTGAATCACCACATCATGATGAGGAATTTCCGCAGCAATACACTCGATCGTTTCCGCGAACCGTTTTTCATATAACGGTTCAATCGCATTTATCAGCTCTGGTTTTATATGGCCAATCAAGACGCTATATGGTGAAGGCAGACCGATCTGGAATCGAACATCCGGCGGGATAACATTCTGTTGGCGAAGTCGCTTGAACTCGGCGTAGGACAACAACGCCACCTCGTCATAGGCGGTAGGTTTAATATCCCCGAGCGTAAAGGTTGGTAGTTCAGACCCAGTTTCTGGCAACGGTATCCCTCCTAATTCGTTTCGCCGAGCTACCCGAGGGAAGCGTTCTAATTGCCATCCAATGTAATTCCATCGCTCACCGGTTTCGCCATCCGGTATAGCTTGCAACCGGCCAGGGAGCTCGGTGGCCAGTCGTACAAAGACCTCCTGGGCTGAGGCCCCGGGGACACTGCCGACCATAAGCACTCCGGTAGGCTTCATGGTGACTTGTTAGTTGGAAATGAAAATGACAAAGTAGAAGGCGGAGTTCCCTCCTATCCCTTACTTAGGCGTACGCGCACGCGCCCCGCTCTACCAAAGTGGTAGAGATTATTCAACACGCCATGTTCAGGGATGATTAGCAAGGGATGTTATATCTTATCTTATATCCGAAATTAGAGCCCGAAAAGTCCGCACGATGAACGGCGTGATGAAGAAACTATGCAAGCTCATCTATAAGAATGGCATAGGCGTACAAATACTTTAATCCTTTTTAAATAGAAATATATACATATACATAACATAGATACCTATTATTGAGCGACGAACCGGAGTTTGTGAACGAAAAAAACCTTAGGTTGACCCATTTTGAGCGCCACCTGCGAGCGTCCAACTAATTTATCAACCCACCCTCCACCAGGACGCTGTTGTGTAACACCCACGACAGCAACACGTATTACCTAAATAAACGTTGCATCCAAACCAGCCTCTTGGCGATATGTGGATGAGGATCGCTGGACAACATAAATTTTGGACTTGAAAGGTAGGAGATCACGCCAATAGTAAAAGTAAGGGCGTAGAGCTGTTACCTCTGAAGAGTTAACAAGTGCCGAAAATAAACTATGCGCCTCAAGATGTCACTTTTCAGATATTTCAGTTCATAACTCGCTTTTTAAACTAATAAGTTTTTTCGCCCCCTTTCCTGATCGGTACTATATACGCCATGCATTCTACTACTGCATATTCCTCATGGACAGGTGAGATATTGTGTGATCATGCGCCGGGCTTGCCGCGTGAGCTAAAGAAAAAGTGATCCAGCAACCTCATACCAGTTAAATATCTAACTCGAAAAGCCTGGAGATCTATAGTGATTGATGAGAACCTTCAACCTTCCTAATGAGGTCTTCTAGTTGGTCGGCAACGAAAGATGGGTTGTCTTTTTGGATGAAGTGTCCAGTTTTCGGTGCAATGAGTGGCCCTTTAGCTCTATCCGAGTCAGTGAGCTTACAGAGTCCCTCATTGTACTTCTGCCACATACTACTCCATCTTAGCAAAAGGCTTAATTAAGAAGGGAGGGACCACTTACGGCTGAGTATACATCGCTGCCATGCCCAAAGGAACTTTCATCATCGCCCACTCTTCCTGAGAGAATGTTTCAAGTTCATGGCCCACGACGGTTATCCAGGGGCCTTTATTCGAAGTCTTCGACCCCTTAAGCTTCGGGAATGATGGCTCTGGAAGAATGTCCTTGATATCTCTTCGGTCGAAACCCTCGTTATTCTTTGCCGTGGCAGCAAAGATAGTTGTCATCTTGATGTAGGCGGCTTCATATACCTCTAAGGGGGTGTTGGGAGGAACCATAAGCTCTAAATTGAAGGACGAATCCATTGGGTTAGGCCAGATGCTGGCATAATCCGTGTTTCCTGGATTAGAATCAAGGAACAAGATCCCCTCAACAGTACCAGGATACCTAACGTGACAGAAAAAAATTAGTCAAAGAGACAGCAAATAAGAAGAGGCTAATCAGTGATTACCTGTCTGCATATCGTCGGGCGACATGCGCACCTATACTGTTATTTACAAAAATAAGGCGGGAGTTACGATCGGGGGACACAAGGTGAATCAAGTGGTGAAGATCATCAGTAACGTCATCCAACGTGTGGGCGTAGCCGGCATCCTTGTTTGGCCAACTTTCACGGGGATCTCTTGGGGAGCTGCCCTGGCCAAAGCGATCATACGTAAGTATCCATGGGTCAGGTGAAAAGGCCGACTTTTTGAGGATTTCAATGGTTGGTTGCCAGACGGTCTGTGGAAGGCCAAGACCATTAAGACAAACAATCAGAAGGCTGCTCATAGAATCTCCTGGGTAAAGCGAATACGCCATAAAGGCATTGGGCGCGGAAGGAAGAGTAACGGTGGGCATGGTGGAATGATTTGACTACCTAGGTACGTAAGATTTGTAAGAACTATAGTAGGAAGACATGAGAGTTATATATGTAGGATAAACTGTGACGAACCTGTACCTCAAAGAGGTATAGCCGTTGCTGGATTGATTAATCCGGGGTGTCTTGATTTGAAGATAATAGTATCAATAGTAGGTTAAGTGACTTGTCACGAACCAGGAATCCCGCGCCCGCTTCTAAAGGATGAATGAGGCCCAATACAACTAATAACGGTATAACCTCGGATATTTAGATATGTCGACCAGTGACACATCTAATATGAAGAATATATCTAACACATCCAATATATCCAATATAAAGAACATATCCAACACATCCAATATAAGAAAAAAAAAAGAGGAATAACTATATAATTATAAGACATTTCTTATATATTTGGTTACTTTTTTTATAATTCTTTAATTATTAATTTAAGATTATTCTTTGTTGGTAGGTACGTATGTAAATGGAAAACAATATAACAAGTAAAGCAAAGTAATGGGGGTGAGACGATGTGTATTAAGTTGTCTAAGGAAGGAAGTTCTATCTATATGAATAAACAAAGAAGGTAATTTACTTAAAGGAAATCCTGATAATTAAATAGATCACATATCTTTTACCTATACAACCATCACTCATTCTATTTTCTTTTTGTAATTAATTAATTACAAATTCATTATTAACCACACATTTTACCCATCCTTCCAATTACAAATCAATTTGGTTATCCTCCACTAGCCTCTTTATGGCCTTATTTAAGGATACCTTTATCATAACATCCACAAGATTATAGCTGTTATAAATCCATTAGATATTATCTATTTTTCAGTTTTTATATAATTATTTTAAAGTTATTAAATTAATCATTAATTTCTTTTTATTAATATTACCCATTTATACTAAATATTAATACAGGGAAAAAAAGTCGGTATATAGAATAAAAAAAATTTTAATAAATAAGAGACATTTTAAAATTATATTAATAATATAATAGATGATATAACCAATATTAAAACCCTATACTATACCATAGATTTTATTAATAAAAATATTATGAATAATATATTTACACTTGATAAATAACTAATAAATAATATTTCTAATGATCTAGATTTTATTATTTTAGCTGGTAGGTCTTTTATTACTTAAGATAATAATGTAATTAATTTATGAATTTAAATCCTTATTATTTATAAATAATCTATTAATAAAAATATATAGATGTAGATCTTATAAATCTAATTTGATATAGTTAAATCCTTGTATTTAATTATCTATTTGTTATTATATTCTGGTATTAAAAACCTTTATTTCCTTGGGGCCTGATTTAAAGTATTAAGTTATTATAAAGTAATCAAAGGCAACTTTGGATTAACAAATAAAGGTAATATATATATCTCAGGCCCTCTATTTCATGAATCTTTTATGTCTAAAAGTTTAAGTTTTTTAGTTTGGCCTTTCTGAATAGTAGAAATTCCAAAATCTTTATCGTGGATAATAATATGTAAATTATTAAAGTCCTTAGATCTTAAATTTATTATCTTTTAAAAATATGCTTTAATTTCTATTTTAATAAATGTTGTATTCTCAATAGTAAAAAATTCCATAATGTTTATATTAAAAATATTATTTATCTAAAAGTCTATGATTTTAAAAAGGCCTAAATCTATTATTAATAAATAAGAATTAAAGGCTAATAATTTTATATATAACTTTTATTAATAATAATATAAATAAGTTTTAAATTAATAAATGTTTGATTTTATAAGATTATATAATAATTTAATAATTTATAATAATATTCCTTTAAGGTATTTATTTTTTAATTTAACTGGTAATTATATAAAGATTATCTTCTATATTAATATTTTGGATTAAATATATGCCATGGTTATATCTTATATTATGATTTTTATCTTTTAATAATATAGTATAGGGATGAAAGTTAATATTAGCTGTTAACTTATCTTTTAGATAATGGATATGTATGTCATAATGAATTCCTTGTTGGGGTTGTCATATTTTTAGATTATGAATTGTGATTTTTTATAGGGAGAAGAGGTGTTTCTAACCTTAATTTTATGAATCATTCTTAATTTGAAGATCGTTGCATCTTAGTGAATTACTTTATCATACATTTCAGGTTGCAAAATATTTTCTTTAAATAATATGTTTATCTCTTTTATGTCTAATTCTTTATATAATTTGTTTAAGATAATTATCTTTTTATCTGTTTATAACTTAAATATGAAGATAAGATTATCTTATTCTTTAATAATAAGGTATAGAATGGTAATATGGAAGATATTATTAATATATATAAGATCTTCTTTAGGGATAACTTTAAAATCATTAGGGTTAAATAAGGATGGAGATAACTGGACCTTTAGTTTTTTTATTAATTTTAGGATTTCCTTAGGTTAGATATATAATTTAACATGGGAATTCCTAAATGTCAATATATTGCCTAAAATGTTGAAGATTATAATTACATCTTTATTAATGACTATAATAACTTTATATAGATCTTTTTATCTATCTTTTTTATAATATATCAAGACTTTATTATTAATAGGTAATGATATAGATAATATCTTTTATATATTAGGATTGTTCCATTTATTTAAGATATTCTTGATGGAATGTTATGCCTTGATCCTCCTGATCTTTACTATTGTTTTTTGGATTGCCTATGCCTTCTGGATCTGCAAGGAGGTGGATAATAAATCTATTGTCATGAATTAATTTGGGGACAACTAGTTGAACCATAAAGCAAAAGTTTCCCAATGACCAATTAATTATTATTCCCTAATTCTATATTATATATATTATTTTATAATTTGGAATATAATATTATACCTTTTTTCTATAAGATATGTCTTTATATTATATCATATAAAGAGAATTAAGCCTTATATTTCCTAGTATATATATTATGTTATAAAATGGATAAAACCTTATATTTATATATTAAAAATATAATATAAGGAAATTCTAAGGTTCCAAGCTAATAATATCCTTATTAATCAGGATCCTTTATTTACCTATTATTAATATTATCTAAAAGTTTGGAAAATAACAAAGTTTTTATTTAATAATTATGGGAATTAAATTTATATTTCTTATTTTAACAGATGAAATTAGTCATTATATTATAAATTAATTTAGGGATAATTAATTAAATCATAAAACAAAAGTATCTTAATGATCAATTAGTTACTGTTCCCTAATTCTATATTATATATATTACCCCACAGCTTGGAACATAACATCTATATTGATCCTTGGATAGGTATTGAAAACCAAGAGAGTAAGGATGAGGCCATCCGGATTGACAATATTGTTAATTACTTTGATGGCCATCTAGAATTATAATATCTTTGAATCAGAACCCTGAAATTCATCCATTATAATCTTATAGGCTCTATAGATAAGGCCATGATATTCTTTAACCTTGCTGATAAGTATATCTTTACCAGTACCTGGTTATAGGTAATTCTAGCATTGTAGGCTTTATTTCTGAATTCGACATTATCAAAGTTGATACCAATATTGTATATGATAATGTCCAGGAGGTTAAGGTAAGTATTGATCTAACACTGTTTCAATATTTTTTAAGTTTCTTTAGCCGAGATGGTTTTTATAAAATGTGTTATTTAGAAGCCTGTGGTTATATTAATTATGTATAAGATTAATTATTTATTAAGGTATATTATATTAATAATTACCTTATAATTAAAATCTATATTTAGGTTCTTTAAATTAAATCTAAATCTTTAAAAAGTTTAATCTTTGATTTGGTAATAATAATAGAACTTATTAATCTCTTTAATATCTTCAATGTTGATGTTATGGTTGGCCTTATTTAATAAATTATATAATTTATTTATAAATAAGTAACCAAAATGGATATAAATATATTATAATTTAGGTTTTATAAAATAAATTATATTATTTAAATAAAATTATAGGTATCCTTGTTTATAAATAACTGCAATTATTATTCCATTTTTTTTAATTAATTAATCTATAATATTATTTAAATATATATTTAAATGGTCTATATCCTTGAAATATATAAGAAAAGGAATATTAGATTCTATAATATGGAAATTAATTGATCTAAATGAGATGTTAACTATGATTATTCCTAGTAATTTAATTAGAAATCTGTTACCAAACCTGATATTTGTTTTTTTAACTTAATTAATATCTACTTTAAGGCCATATTCGGGGAATTCCCTGATAAGGACTTGATATTATCCCTTTTTAACTGTGGATATTCTTACTGCACCCATGTCGGGAATAATTCCCTGGAAGATATTTTTAATATAATGATTTAAAATAAAGATAACACTTATCTTAGGTTTATCAAAATGGAGGTTGGATATAATGTAATATTGATATATTTGGTTTGCCAAATATGTCACAATTAGATATTATTTGATATCTATTTCCTTTAATTTGGTAATAAAGATGTCATTATTATCATTTTTGGAGTTAGAACTTTTTTTTTTAATTTTTTTATAATTAATTAAAAATGTAATATATTTATCCTTATTTTATCCCTTTTTGATTTTTCATTTATTTTTAATTTTCTTCTAATCTTTTTTAAAATGTTTTATAGATTAATATTCTTCCTTTTTATATATCCAATATTATTGTTTCCAGTTTTATGATACCTTTTTTAATTAATATTTATTACTTTTATTATTATAATAATATCTTTTTTTAATATAGAATTGATTGGTATCCTTATTATTATTATTATTGATTATATATTAATATGTTTCTTTTAGATTTTCATAGATGTTAATTAATGTACATAATTTACTAACCAGTTCTTTAAATTAGTATAATAGAATAAATAAGGTATGTTATAGTTATGGGATATTATAATAAATTATTATTCTCCTTTGAAATCTCTTTTAAAAGTTTGTTAATAGAATAATAATTTATTTAATATGATCTTAAATATCTTTATATTAGACCTTCTTTCATTCTTTTTGTCAACCTTATTGTTAAAAAAAGTAATAATAATCTAATTATAATAATATTAGATTTTATTTTATTCCATATTAAAATATTATTTTATGGTAAAATATATATTTATAAAATATTAATATTGTAATATATTATATAAAAAATAAATTATTATTTTTTTTATAAAAATAATAGAAAACATAATATGGAATTATATTTGATATATTTTAATTATATAATATATATCTAAGA